TTCAAAAGCAAATGAGATAGATTTCTTTTAGGAAATAATATCTCGGGATACAGTATGTAGTTTGGGACATGACACGTGCATGTGACTCCCAGGATAGTGGAAGGCAAACTGGATGGACCTTGGTCGTCTTTCGTCTAGCAATTCTTATGTTCTGTATCTTTCATTTAACTTTTGTTTCTGAAATTATGTGACCAAATTGTCTTATGAAGCTTGAAAATTGTGTTGATGTTTGGCATATTTACTGCCCAGAGTTACTGTATACAAACAAGTTTCCATCCTGAGAGCTTTTGGTAAGATACTTTTTATAAGCAATATAAAACAGAAGAGCCCTTGCTTATTCGAGAACTAGTTGAAAGTAAAAAGATTGAAAGTATTGTTGGCATTATGGAAGAATGAGATCAGAAGGCCTTCATTCAAACTTTCTGTGAGTGTCAGTGAAACGACACACAGATTCCTGACTCACCGCTGAATTCTGATGGTGCAGGCTGACTCACCACTGAATTCTAATGAATAGTATGAAATTTTCTTATTGAATGTTTTGTACAGCCACACTCAAGCCATCCGCTATGCTGATTGCATTTGACCTGTGCTTCAACAGAAACCACCACTGTATTTTGCATTAACTCAGTTCATTAGAGGCTAAATATGCTGCATGAAATTCAAACAAAGAGCTCTTTATAGTAGCACTCAGAGTATTGTTCATGATGACTTATTCACTGTTGAACAAAGCCAAGCCTATGGACATGAGAAGCAATTGGTTCCATTAGCTAAGGTGCATTCGTGCTCTGGACAATCTCTCTTTGCCAGCAGGAGCCAATGACAGTTTAATAGGATTCTGACACTGCATTCTCATGTTGGACAGATCCCTTATTCTAGCCAAGACAGTCTCATAGTGTTGGCTTCAAGTGATGATAGATCATACCAAATACATGGGCTTCAGTAACTGGCATTTCTGTCTCTGCCTCTAAATACAGACTTCCTACTCTGAAAATGCACAGGGTCTGAAAGTCCAGTGCACCTTATATAGTGCACACAATGTGATAGATTAGCTCGACGTCTGTAGCAAAGCAATAATGTAATCATGTGGTTCAGTGGCATCATGAACCTTAAAACCAAAGATCCCATTGTTTATCAGCATCATCTGAGCCTCAACTTGTATTGTTGCTCTCCATCATTTTATTCTTTAGATTGTATTTTTCCCAACTGCCTGAGAGAACAAATTCAGAATACCTGTGATTGAAATAGTGCCTGAGGATTGCTGAAATGTCTCAAAGCACTTCACAAAATGAGTTATTCTGAAGAGTGTGATGTAGGCAAACATAATAGCTAATTCACCCCAGGGCTGTCCCGCAAACAAGAACGAGTGATGAATAGGATCTTTGGAAGCAATGAAGGTGGGTGGCAAGTTCTCAGGGATTGCAGTTCAGACAGTAACTCACTCAAAAGTGTACCGTAAAGAATCACGATACCATTATATTTAAATGGAGGTAAGCTGGCCTCAAGTGATTAAACCTGCAGTGGTTTCAATCTTTATTTGATTTGATCAATGGGAAACAGCAAACCTTGTTATCAGGAATTCTTGTCATGTCCATGATGGATTGACACAGTCAACAATACAGTACTAACATAAATGTATTTGTCATACAACTTGACAATAGAAGTCAATAATTGTTTGGGGAGGGGAGGTCAGGATCCAATCCCTTTAGTGGGCATTGACATTTTTGTTAGAAATCGATCAGGATTCACCACTGGACTAAAGACTGTCCATTTCAGAACTGAAGTAAATTATCCCAGCACGACAATCTTTGCATTTGTTGTTTCGGAGGAAGAGCATAAGGACAGGCCAGGAGTAAGGGCTAGAAAAAGGTGAGGCTGTGTGACAAAGGATGTGAAGAGTTAGGACTAACCTTTACCCCCGGTAAATATTTAAATGTTATAAGACATTTCAGGCTACCGAATCAAGCAACAATAGAAGTTTGGAATTTTTTCATTTTTAGGCTATCAAAATTGTTTACTTTTTATTAAGTAAGCTTGTCTTTCGTGGCCTCCGTTCTACCATCAGCAGCCGCGCTTTCAGGCACTACACCCCAAACTCTGGAACACTACACCTTGCCCCCTCCTTCACCATCTCCAGGTGGTCCCTGAATATCTTCCTCTTCGACCAGGCAGGTTCCACCACCATCAAGTGCTCTGAGATACCACCCTGCGTGAGGGGCGCTATATAAATGCAAGTTGTTGTTGTAATATCTTCAAACATTTTAGCAATATTTTGAACTTCTACTGCATTGCAAAACCTCTGCTCACAAAGCTGCTTTGTAAACCCTGAATTAGTTAGTAATTCTATAACAATCACATTCATTTAAAGCAATGTAGGAAAATGTTGCTGCTTATTTCTAAATGTCTATGCCCACTACATTCAGGTCCACTGAAGAAATCACTGCAAATTTTTTCGAAGCCAAGACATCAAATAATAACAAAAAAAATTATTATTTGCAAACAATCTACTCCAGCGCCGCTCTTTATTCCTGCCACTCTAATTGCTTCACATTTTGTGCAGATTTGACACAATATTTTATCCCTGTTCAATGTAGTGGAGTCCTGTAGCTCAGTGGTTAGATCACTCGCTTTGCAAGTGAGAGACCTGGGTTCAATTCCTGGCAGAGTGAAACCTTGGGCAAGTTTCCTTACTCCACACGCCTGATAATAATCCCTCAAAAAAAACAATAATAAATTTGTCACTTCAATCCACGGCTGTTTGTGGGACACAGCTGTGCGCAATTGGCTGCCGCGTTCCGCCCACAAATATACAGTCAATTAACTTTAGTCTATTCTGTGAAGCGCTTTGAGATGTCAAGAAGACGTGAAAAGGGCTGTATCAAATGCAAGGATTATTATTATTAGCTACAGCATAACCGTGAGGTGAAGGGAGTGAAGAAATGAGCAGTGAGACCAGACCTCCTCATGCAACAGCCTCTTAGGTCTCATATTATTGGTGTAGATGATTGTGTTTAGATGGGAGGCAGACCATTCAAACTGCTGGTCAGTGGCTGTCTATCTGGGAGCAGACATGATGTCACTAAAACTAAGGCTTGTGATGCTTGTGAAGAACAAGTATCTCCTCCTGTGGTGTCTCAGACCAGCAGCCAGCCTCACAGCATGTAAAAGAACACCGGATGACATGGGACATTGGCTAAGTGCATGCGATCTCTCTTGTCAAATCGAAGATGATGTGGTCTTTCAGTAAAATACACTTTCCCCTTTAACTGACAAACAGTATTTCTTTTTCGCTGCCTTTAGATAACTGGACGTCAATGCCATTTCATGTCCAGCAGAGAAAAAAAATCAATGCCTTTCAGATCAAATTCTTAAGAGCAGTACTGTACTGAAGATAAGGTGGAAAAAGCAATATGTGCCTTTAGAAAAGAATGGTCCAGCAAACCATATCCCAACGAATAGAAAATTGAAAACAAAATTGGTTTGGATACATTCATCGCATGAGTGATACCAAGAGCCCAGAATAGCCTTGTGAAATCAGGTCAGAGTACAGCTGGGGGGAGGGGGAGCTTAAAACACAGAGGAACGCACATCACTGGAGAAGACACGAGCCAACTGTATTTAGATGTTGAAACTGGTGGTGTTACTGCCTTAGGGCCTGTATTGACTAGAGATAGCTTACAATGCTTTACTTTTTCTAGCAGAACAATTCGGAGGCTGTAAAAAGCTGTGCTTCTGTATTGAGTGAGATACATTGCTCTCAGATGGTGCAAACACATTATTACTGGTGGGAAATATACCTCCCAGCTGTTCTGGTCACTTTTAAGTGGAGATTCAAAGGCAGGATTGAACATGCTCACTAGTTCACTATGTATTTCACAAATTACACAGTTAATCCACTTTACAGTATATTCTGTGAAGCGCTTTGAGATGTCTCGACAATGTGAGAAGGTGCTATATCAAATGCAAGGATTATTATTATAATTACTTTATCCCCATAAAGTAACTCATCACTTGTCAGCATGAACAGTGGAGAACGCATTTTATCCAATCACTTTAACACACTGCTATAATATAACTCTTTCCACTTGGGATGAACATCCATCCTTAAGCACTTTGAGATATCCTTCTGACTTGAAAGGTGCTATATAAGTGTAAATTGTATTATATGAAAATCTCAAGTCGCTTCAAAATGACACCAAGGATCATCTGACAAGGAGAAAAGGAGAAGGAATGTGAGAGTGTTGACCAAAGGCGAAGTCAAAGCGATGTTTTGAAGAGGAGGATTTCAAAGGCAAGACGATAAGGTAGAGGGGGAATGAATTTTGGGACAGTTCCAGAGAGTAAAGGCTAAAGGATTAAATTACAGATGGAATGGGGGAAGTAAGGAATAAATACTATACCGGACAGAGTCAATGGAGACTGAGGAGATTGAGAATGTAAGGTGAAGCAGATCGTGAAAGGATTTAACAATCAGGAGGAAGACGTTTTGCTGGGGTACTAAGTGCCAGCAGAGCCTGGTGAGGATGGTTATGTGGAGCCGTGTGGGAGAGAATACACGCTGATGTTTTATTACCAGCTTCTGAAAATCATCTTGAGGTTACCATATAAAACAGGTACATCAAGGCCAAACATTCTTAATTAATCCCAAGAATAAAAACCACAGAATTTTCTGTAGCATTATTATGTTGAAATATTCTGAGATCCAAATATGGGAAGAAAATCTTTTGTTTTAAATCAAAACAGTGCTCCACAATCACTTAAATATCACTTTAATCGCTTAAATATTCTAAATAGTCATATTGACCTTCAAAGAAGAGAAGGAAGGTAGAGTTGCAATATCTATTTGCTCTATGGAGCAATGAATTCTATGAACCTAATAGTAATCTATTCCATAACTATGATTGTAAGCTTGTATTATCAATCATTCAAAGAACGATCCAACATGCTTGTGGTTCCAGTTTATCTCCATACAAAGAAGCCAAACTGTTCAAGGATTGCGTTACCTTAAGAGCTCCACTGACTGAGGCAGCCCCTCCAGGGTAAATCTTCTCTATTTTCACTGTAGGTTGTATTTTTGATTCAATACCACCCGAAATGCTGATTCCTACAGATAAGAGTCAAAACAGTATAACAGGGCTTTTAGTCTCACAAATGTAGCCGTGTCAACAAGTATTGAATTACCAACGTCAAAAGGGTACAACTTCAACATTTTTGACAGTACAAAGCAATAAAAATAGTGAAAAGGAATCTGTGTAAAGACTGTGTATAGATTTTGTCAGAATTGACAGCATTGTTAACGAGGACATTTGTACCATCTAACTAATGAATTTTAACTATGAAAATCATATAATACGTGAACAGTACAGATAATACACGCCCCGTATTGATTATATTACTTATGTTAAGTCACTAATGACATTCCGAACATCTGTGATCAGGGCTCCCTCTGCCTCCTTGTCCTCCTCGACCTCTCTGCCGCCTTCGACACTGTCGACCACTCCATCCTCATATACCGCCTCGCCTTTTTACTTAACCTTTGCGGACCTGCCCTTGCCTGGATCCAATCCTATCTCTCTCACCGTCTCCACTTTGTTGCCTCTAACGGTTTCTCCTCCAGCCCCCGCACTGTCACGTCTGGCGTCTCCCAGGGCTCTGTCCTTGGCCCTCTCTTTAATATCTACATGCTCCCCCTTGGTGACATCATCCGCAGATATGGGGTCAACTTCCATATGTATGTGGATGACATCCAACTCTATCTTTCTGCCTCCATCCTCAACTCCAGGACCACTGCTGCCCTGACAGACTGTCTGTCAGACATCAAGTCCTGGATGAGGGCAAACTTCCTACAGTCGAATGTGGACAAGACTGAGGCCCTCCTGAATGGTTCGCGCCAGTGCCTCTGCACCTCAGGCTCTGGCAGCATCAACCTCCATGGTTTCACACTACGACTCACCAAGCCAGTCAGGAACCTCGGTGTGTTGTCGTGTCCTCTCCTGCATCAAACTCCGTGACCCCATCTCCCCCATTCTCGCCCGACTCCATTGGCTCCCTATCCTTCAGAGGATCCAGTTCAAGATCCTGGTCCTCACCTACAAAGCTCTCCATGGCCTCGCCCCACCCTACCTCTGCGACCTCCTAACTCCCTACCAACCCACCCGCTCCCTCCGCTCAGCCGGCTCCGGCCTGCTTCATGTCCCCAGACCCACCCGCCCCATCATTGGTGTGAGAGCCTTCAGCCACTTTGCCCCCAACCTCTGGAATTCCATCAATCACTCCACCTCGCCCCTTCCTTAGCCTCCTTCAAGTCCCGCCTCAAGACCCTCCTCTTCAACCATGCCATCGATCACCCCTCTACCCCTCCCCTCCCTGACCCCAACTCGGGTCTGAAATGCTGTACACTGTCCAGCGATTTGGGACATCCTCCCGACACGGAAGGCGCTAAACAAATGTAATCTTGTTGCTGTTGTTGGGATAAAAAGAGTTAAAGATTTGTCCCGAGGTAAAAATGAGGGATACTATAGATAGTAAACAGCTATTTAAACAGCTATTTAAAAAGAACAACTTGTCTCCCTTAAATAGTAACAGTCTCAAGTACAGCTTAAACGACACCCAAGATGCAGGTACAATTTTTCAACAAGTTGAATGGTTTTATTTTCAAGTTGTTAATGATTTGATCTCAGCCAACATGGTTTTGATTACAGGTGATTCCCAGTCTGCATGTTACACCCTTAAGTATCTGTTCATTCTTGCCAAGTTTAATAGACTGACTGTTGTGAGATGGGGATCTGATCTGATTCTGAACAGTATGTTGCTATCATGGGAGGTTTTAGTCCTTGGTGTTTGCCAGCATTAGGAAGAACTGGCACTTTGCGCAGAGCTTTGGTGGGAAGAATCAGAAAGGTATAGGAAGGGAAAGTTGGAGAATGGCTGAAGGTTCGCCCACCAATAGTGGGGCGGACGAGGCGGGATACGTGAAGCAGGCCAGAACCTGCTGAGCGGAGGGAGCGGGCAGGTTGGTAGCGGTTAGGAGGTCGCAGAGGTAGGGGGGAGCAAGGCCATGGAGAGCTTTAAAGGTGAGGACCAGGATCTTAAACTGTATCTTCTGTGTGATGGGAAGCCAGTCGAGTCTTATGCTTTACAGTGAAGTAAAGCATAAGATGACAGACAGGGAATGAGAAGGATAAATAGATGGGAGAAGCAACAGCAACAACAAATTGCAGTTATATAGTGTCTTTCACGTCAAGAGGATGTCCCAAGGCGCTGGACAGTCAAGGGTTTGCGCCCTGGTACAGCAGCCAAACAACCCCTATCCATTTCAGTATTTGAGAAATTAAGTTCAGGGCTCTGATGCAGTAGACGAAAACTCCAGCAGGTGGAGATTAACTATGGAAGTAGACACAAAGTGAAACACCTACACAATTGAGGTGAAGTCGTTTATCTTAGTGAATGAGTAGCTGGGAATTTTATCAGCTGGAAATTTCAAAGCAAGCAACTACCTCGTGTAACAAGCAGAGTGCTCCAAACATTTTGTTTTAAAATCAGAGTATTAAGCGCTGAAAACTTATGACAGAAGCTGCTAAAATTATTTTACTGAACTGGTGCTTCATTAAAACTGGCACGTAGAACCCAGGTTTAATTCAGCTGGGATTTCAAAGACAAAAGTATGCAATAAAAGATCACTCAAAATATATATTTCAGCATATTGCAATTGCATCTGCACTATCTAAGCACGGTTTCAAAAGTCAGGGAGGATTCCAAAGATATCAGTTTATCCTTTATCTCACTGGCACTTCTAAATATTATGAAGAGCTTTTTTTAAATAAAAGGAATTTTTTTTTTCCTTTTGCACATTAAAAATTTGGCTCAATGATTCAAATTATTTGAATTATTATTATTATTCAATGGCTTGCTGCCATTGAGAAAGAGACTAAAATAATGGAGGAAACGGCTAAGTAGAAAATAACTGAGTGAAAATGAAACGCCTACCCAGTGACTGTTTCATCTTGGCGATTTCCACAGTCCTCAGTTCATATTCTGGTCTGGGATTTTGTGCACTTCCTGTCCATTTCTTTTTCATCCCTTCACTGGTGCCTTTCCCTCCCGTGGGCCCATTTTCCCAGAACTCATCAATCTCTGCATATATCGGTTCTTCCTGAAGATCATTGTGATCATGTGCGGTTGTGTTAGTCTCGATTGGATTTCCTTTGCTACTCTGTGCCACAGGCGAGGTTACCCCAAAGATCTGGGTTAATAATGGTCGTGATTTTCTAGGTTTGTTCACTATTGAGTACAACGGTACCTCTTTGGTTTTCTCTGCTTTTTCTGATTTAGTTTTGGAATGGGTTGATTTGGTGGTTCCAGTTTTTGCGGATTGTGCATCAACCTTTTCAACAGAGTGCAACTTGGCGGCTACTGTACCATTGTCCTGCCTTGTAGTAGTTGGCAGCTCTGGAGTCCGAATGGATTCTGCCAATAACCAGTTTGACCTCACCGGACTAGCTGAAGCAGATTTCAAAGAGGTATTGTCTGTTGTGTATACATCCACTGGCACATCTTCCAAAGTTGTGAATGATTTGGGATGACTTTCTTTGTCCAACGACATTGAGATCTTCAGTTTCTCAAACTCCTCCATCATTGTTCTTTCCTTCTCATAGTCCTGGGATGGTTTCAGATGGAATCCGCCCCTGTAGTCTACCCAGAGAGAAAAGAAACACGTATTTTAGAGCCACTCTAAACTTAAGTACCATTTGTTAACAACAGCAACAACAAATCACATTTATATAGTGCTTTTCATGTTGGGAAGACCAGGGGGGGTGGAGGGTAGGGAAGGTAGGGGTAGGAGGGTTACCGACAGCACGATCAAAGAGGAGGGTCTTGAGACTGACCTTGAAGGAGGCAAGGGAGGGAGCAAGGTGAAGGGACTGTGGGATGGAGTTCCAAAGGTTTGGGGCAGAGAGGCTGAAGGCTTATAAATATTATGAAGAGCTTTTTTTAAATAAAAGGAATTTTTTTTTTCCTTTTGCACATTAAAAATGGTGGGGTGGGATGGGCAGGGGACTTCGGGCAGGCTGGAGCCTCCTGAGCGGAGGGAGCAGACAGGTCTAAATGGAGTTAGTTAAGATCAAAAAGGAGCAAAAGAAATAGAAAAGTCTGGTCTCACCTAGCCACATAAGCTAACGTAGACTTCTCTTTGACCGAGCCTTCAGCTCTCCTCTCGACTCTCTTCCCCCTTCTCGCTCCCTCCCCTCACCCTGACCATTTCCCCCCTCCTCGCTCCCTCCCCTCCCCTGACCATTTCCCCCCTGCTCGGGTCATGACCCAACTGTGCAGCGCCTTGGGACGTCCTCCTGACGTGAAAGGCGCTTTATAAATGGAATCTTGTTGTTGTTGTTGTAGACACTGGTTTTAAAAAAAGTAAACATTTCAATTTGTTTCCCCTTTGTTTATATCACCTGCAGTCACTACAGTTTATAGTAAATCTTGCGAACTGTTTTGAGACTTTGATGATGTGATCAGGCACTATATCAAATGTAATTACTGTTACTATTATATTATTTCCTACATATTTCACTTCTTTCCAAATCTCTATGTATCTGTCCATTTTAAAAATAATTTTAATGTTCTTTATCTTCTACCCGATCTAACCTACCTGATAACAATAATCCTTGCATTTGATATAGCGCTGATCTAACCTACCTGATCTAGCCAATCTTCTCTTTTTCAATTCTTTTCTAACTTTTAAAGAATTTTAAATCATTATACTTATTTTCTTATTTCTCCTGGCTCCCACTGGTTTTTAAGTCTTGAAGTGAGAACAACTGTGTGCAATTGGCTGCTGCGTTTTGCTCGCAAAATATATAGTTAATTCACTTTGCAGTAAATCCTGTGAAGCGCTTAGAGACGTCTCGAAGACATGATAAGGCACTATATCAAATGCAAGGATTATTATTATATTTAGAAAGGAAAACCTGGTTTTATTGGTTGAAAATGAGTTCCAGGTTATTGACCAGATCAATCTATGATGCAATGTTTGTGCATTTAACTAAGAATAGGGCTAGAGAACAAGTTGATTCACAATTACCTGCCACAGCCTGATGAGCAAATTTAGTTTGGCGTACAATGATACGTCTGAAAACCTCCAGGATAACACTCAGGACTACAGCTGATAAAAATAATCAATATTTGTACAACAACCGTTGAGCCGTTTCTATTCATATCCACTATGATTGTCCTGATGCTTTTCTGCCTCTTTCATGCTGCAGATTTGACTTATTGCAACCAAGAACTCCAGCGTCTCAGGAGACCAACCTGGAATTGATGTGATCAGGTGTCTCTTCGGGGCAATTCCATTATCGGCCCGCCTAAGTGCAGGAGATCTCACTGGAAGAAGATTTTTATTGATATTAATATAGATACTTTTACGATATACAGTTAGTGCATTTTCACTAAGTACGAAAATGCCCATAATGATCTATTTCAATCCCCAGTATATATCACATTCTGCCAGAGATAAAAAATCTGATGCCACAGGAGCACCATGTGATAGCATATCCCTTATGCTCTTATTTCACCTTAATTATCTTTTCATCCAAGCACATTGCCTCCAGTGTGTCTACAGTGTAATTAAAACCTTTTTTTGAATTGCTTATTTTAAAAGCAAAGTGCAGACTTCACTGTGTAAAAGTTAACAAATATTAATCAGGCAGTTTAAAATACTCGAGGATTCTGCTGACGTTTATATAACTCCCTTAGCTTTGCTCTCATGCCATCTTCAGAACTACTTGATTGAAATTCTCTGTTCCAATGACTGATAGCCATCTACTGCTGTACAATGTAAAAGGCTGCCAGGGGGAAAACTAGCTGCCAGGCATTATACAGTACCCGTAATTTTAGATGTTTTACTGTGTTTATTCAGTAAGTTATTACAACTTGAAGAGTGCCTACCAAAAATAATTTTATTGCAATTTAATTTGGTCAGTTATAAAAAACATTGAGGAAACTTACTGCCACCAAAATACAGTTAATTCACTTATTTGAAATGTCTTGAAGATGTGATGAGGTGATATATCAAATGCAAGGATTATTATTATAAATCCATTTAAAAATTTAAAGAAAGCATTCTGTTATACTGTAATATCTGTATAATGTTGGACACATAAGGCTTACTAAGCTTTTCTGCAATGAAAATTCATCTAAAAATGGTCTCTTTCAACTACTATAGATTTTATTATTATTATTTATACTCAAGATACTTCAAGTGCAGCTGAAATTACTAAGGAAAACATGATTTGATTGTTTTTACTGCAATTACATTTAATTGATATCATTCTTATTGTTTTCTGTCAGCCATTTTGGTGATCAATTCTATTACAACATTTTCATGTCTGTTAGAGATGTTTTAATAACATATTTGCTGATGTTTGTGATCACGATTATGTTAAATGAACTATGTATCCCGCACATTTCAGAAGCACACTGGAAGCCCATTTTGCAAATGCCACATTTTCAAAGAAAATATTTCCAGTAGTTTGAGCGTAATATCTAGTTATCAGTCAGAAAAATCAGATTTTGACATTATTTTGTAGACTGTAATTATACATTTCAAAACTGACAGAAACTAGGCACGTATTAAGAACAGCAGAAAATGAGGATTTATTTTTTTACTTGGTCCAATCTGTCACAATATTCCCACCTGCTCTGTTCTTTAGAATATCATATGCTTCCAGTTCAGAGGGCATCACCATACTATCAAACCTTCCCAAGTCAGTAGGCTCAATAATGGCCCTTTGGATAAAAAGCAGAAGAAAACGCATTGATAAACAGTTGTATAAAGATAAAAATAATAAAAGTGCTTGCGTTCGATATAGCACTTAGTACATTGAACATCTCAAACTGCTTCATGGAGATTTGCTGTCAAGTGTAGGTTGAACTCTACCAACTGAATATCTACTGAAGATGCTATTTTAGTACTGTAGACACAATGCAAGAGGCATTAAAAAGATCTGCGACGAATTACGAACAATTTTTTATATTGTAGATTCACAATTTGCACTGAATTCTTTCATGTTTGCAAATTAAATTCAACGTAAACAGCATGTGGTTGGACGGATGTTTTCAATAAAAGTAGGCAAGAAGGGCAGGTGTGACTTAAATATGGCAAGAAGTCTGTGAAATGTTCTGATGAAGGGTTAATGTACACCAACAGCAGAATACACTGGCTGTCACCATGCTAGTCAGAGGAAGGTAACCAAAGACACGGTCAAAGAGGTAGGTTTTTAGAAGAGTGTTGGAGGCAGTGAGTGGAAGGGAAACAAACAGCATTTCATAAAGCTTACTCAGCTGTCTCAGCAGAAGGACAAAATACCAAGTTGATCAATCATGGGAGTGACTAAGAAAACAAAACACTGAGGATGAGACGCGAGTCTTGATCAGAGAATTCGGAGGATGGCCAATGGAATTTTGAACCACAGCAATTTTCCAGTTGCAAAAAGGAATGCTGTTTCAATGAAGTAACAAGATTACAATACTGGAGCTCATCTCAACCACAGCTCGTGACTTAAGAATTTAAACAGCAACCAGAGCTTTAGAAAGTGAGCAACACAGTTTAATGCTTACAGGAAGCTAAACTGTTTTTGTGCAATATGCTCTATGAAATTTAGCATAAGACTGAAAGTTATTTTAGGATAGTTACACCCACAAAATATAGTCAATTCACTTTATAATATATTCTGTAAAGTGCTTTGAGACATGTCTATGATGTGATAAGGTACTGTATCAAATGCAAGGATTATTATTATTATTAATTGGCTTGATTCCTCCCCGAACATGATTAGAATATCACTAGTAAGCAGATAGATGAAATGTAAAACTCATCGCCTAGAGAAAAGCTTTCACACAACACAGCGTGTAAGTCCCCTCTCGTGGGGACAACATGCCACACACTTGGTAATTAGAGTAGTGCTTTGATAAATCAGTCTTTACTTCCTTCCCTGATGAAGGACGCTCGTTTAGTGACCTTGTGCTAATTGCTCTGTCAAAAATTTAGGACTAATAATGCTAATGTTTATGCAAGTGAGCTTTGTTTAAATGAACTGTTAGATGGGGCATGGTGGCAGGCATGTGATCTGAGTACATATTTTAATACAGAAGCAAATTAGTGCATGAAGTTGCTGATTATAAACAAAGAATCTGTCTGTGCCAGCCTGCAGCAGTAAATCCCGTCTACCCAAATGTCTATGAAAAAATAAGTATTGGCATTTAGCTCGACACTGATGCCAGAATACCCAGCTGGAAAAATAATCAAGTTAAACTCAAAACTCCTTCTGAGAACATGTCACGCAGTCATGGTCGGTGAATGTCTAGAATTGCATCAATTGACAGTTCATGTGGCATTCTTTTTCAAGGCACAGGTGATCCTTGATTAATTCAATTAGCTGAAAAGCCATTTTGTTTGGCATGGTGTGCACAGTAGGCGACTTGTCTTTTGAGTATGAACTGTAAAAGCTAACGAGCACCTCTATGGAAACTATCCGTGTTAAATTTGTACCTTTGGATATGATTTATATCCACCTTCAACCCAGCCTTCTGGCCAGTAAAAAACAAGAAATGGATCTCACAACAACAACAACAACAACAAGATTCCATTTATAAAGCGCCTTTCACATCAGGAGGACGTCCCAAGGCGCTGCACAGTTGGGTCATGACCCGAGCAGGGGGAAATGGTCAGGGTGAGGGGAGGGAGCGAGGAGGGGGGAATGGTCAGGGTGAGGGGAGGGAAGGGAGGGAGCGAGGAGGGGAAGAGAGTCGAGAGGGGAGCTGAAGGCTCGGTCAAAGAGAAAGGTTTTGAGACCGGCCTTGAAGGAGGAGAGGGAGGAAGCGGCGAAGGCACTGGGGGATGGAGTTCCAGAGCCTGGGGGCTGAGAGGCTGAAGGCCCGACCACCGATGGTAGGGCGGTTGGGGCGGGGGACGTGGAGCAGACCGGAGCCAGAGGAACGGAGGGTACGAGCAGGTAGGTAGGGGGATAGTAGGTCGGAGAGGTAGGAGGGAGCAAGGCCGTGAATGGCCTTGTAGGTGAGGATGAGGATCTTGAAATCAATCCTCTGGGGTAGCAGTGTAATTGTTGTAGGCAGTACAAATCCTATTCTAAGTAATGAAAACGTAGGAACATTGGAAAACAGGAATGAAAAGAGACCATTTTGCTCACTGAGCCTGCGCGACCAGTTTATTAGACCTTGGGCAAATCATTTAATCCCATTGCCCTGCTCTTTTGCTATACCTCTTTATATCTCTACTACCCAAGTATCTGTCTTATCTTTTAAACATCCGCCTCTAATGGGGCAGAACATTTCACATCTCCACAACTCTCTTGGAGAAGAAATATAACGCAATGATGTACAAATTTACATGTATATAGTGTCTTCCTGACCTCGGTTCCAACAGTTTTAGTTCTGATTTTAAGGCAATGCCACTGTAACGGTTTCACTACCTAATCCGAAAATTCCTTTCACTATTTTTAAATAGCTCGATCAGGTCACCCCCTAACCTCCTCTGCCTTGAGGAATATATCGAACTCCAGGCTACCAACCTCTCATTGTTAGAAAAATTTAGCTTTTGCTTGGTTCCTTATTTGATGAAAGTAGTATTTATTTTTCCTAATCCTCTTACCTGATCTCTCGCAATACAAGTAGTTTCTCTGGTTTATCTAGTATGTTAAGCAGTGGTCGCACCAGATCTTCCACTCCACCATCTGAAACAAACTACACACCAAATTCGTTTTCACTACCAAAAAAACCCAGCAGATGCTCAATATCATATCGTCAACATAAAGAAAAGGCTCACATTAAACTACTATGTGAAATAACAGTTGAACGCCATCTAGTGGGAGATTTAATCTTTGGCAAAGATTTGTGTTTTAACAGCATAAATATTATGTACGTTTTTTTGAGGTGTGCGGAAAGGTGATTGCATCAAAATGTGCTTGTGCTTTCCACAGAACATAACAGTAGGTTGTTTTAAAAGCAAATGGTAGCTGAAAATATATATTTTTGCAGCAGATGGTACATGTAGTAACCATTTTTTTCCCCCTGCGAAATTAAGAGCAAGAACTTTTTCACATTCAGGAATATTACCAATGTTATATTTGTGACAAGTCAGTCAATAGTGTTGCAATGCAATTTACTTACTCCCCTTCACAGTGGGAGCTTCATACCAACGTAATGACAGTCTACGGAAACACTGCTCTGGACCTTACCCTTCTACAGTGGCGCATGATTGCATCGACCTCATCTTCATTCAGGAGTTTCCTAGAAATGTCTTCAATCATGGACAGTGCATGGGTGCACATTTCTGATGCGGAGAGACCACTTAACTCTTTCTGGGAGCCAAAGATATGAAAGCGGTGACCCCTTTCTTTATCTTCATTTGAAAACAGAAACAAATCCAGATTAAAGTCATTATTTTATTAAAAAAAACAAGGGAAAAGAAAAAGAATAAAGTCACGCCACAGTGACACTGCAAAGACTTTGAAGGATACACATTTTTGCTATATATTTGTAATGGGCAACACACAATGGCGAATAAGATTTAGAGTTGAAGAAAGCATTCACAAGTAACTCTGCTATTGAAAGCAAATGCTGCTGTTTTGTCAGTCTCTTTTGCAAAGGTTTCATAGCAGATTAAGTTGGAGTTGAATCTCCCTTGCTCCCTTTCTTTTGAAACAAAATTGTAGATAATTTATTATCTACAGAATTATGCTAAGTGCATAATCACAGGTAAACCAGAATTACACTCAGAAAAGGATTTTTTTGCATGAAAGGCAAAAAAAAACCCAGAAAGTGTTTGAGAGATTGCAAACATTTACCCCGCTTGAGACTTCTGACGACAAATTTTTGAACAGCAGTTACTGAAACCAAAAGTAGAAAGAATGGTTAATTGAAGTGCCTCTTACTCTGTACGGTAATAACTCAGTCATTGGTACGCTCTGCTTTGCAATTTATAAAAACATATGGAAGGTAATAATTTGTTCAATAACAGAATGATAGATATTCAATCCGCTGAATGAATATTAACTGTAAAGATGACACAGCAGGAATTATATAGGTACAAATTAGTAACTACAATTTCAGATTTCCATTCATTAATATAATAATAATAATCCTTGCATTTGATATAGCGCTTTTCACGTCAGGAGGACGTCCCAAAGCGCTTCACAGAACACACTGTAAAGTGAATTGACTATATATTTGTGGGCAGCCAATTGCGCACAGCAATGTCCCACAAACTGCCATAGATTGAAAATGACCAATTTTATTATTGTTTTTGGTTTTGGAGGGATTATTATTAGGCTCTGTGTGGAGTAAGGAAACTTGCCCAAGGTTTCGCCCTCTGCCTGGAATTGAACTCAGGTTGCTCGCTTGCAAAGCGAGTGCTCTAACCACTGAGCTACAGGACTCCATTCTTATGTTCTTATGGGATTAGGCAAGCAGGATGCTTCCCTCTGGGTAGAGAGAGAGAAAGAGAGTTGTGCATTTCATTCCAGATACAGGGAAATTTGGTGTGAAAAGCAATGTGAGACAAGAAGTCTATTCCTGGCTTCCCACTTCACAACGCTATATTGTTGGGAACAAAATGAAGTATAACTACAGCACAAGATATCTATCAATTCAAAGGTTAAAAGATATCTCTAAATATGGCCTCTGCCTGCATGACATACCACATGTTTCAGCATGTGTAGAGATAACAGCTTGTAATAAATGTGGTTAGACAAGTACATGGAAGCATTATGTGTACACCAAACTGTAAAGTGCTTGATTTATGGCCTTTAGCTTTTAATATCCATCTTAAGGATCTGGAGGATGAGAAGAAATTTGGCAGCTTAAGAGAGAAAAGCTATAAGACATTGTGAAAAGAAGACACATTAGTAATTTGCAGTGAATATTGATAGCCAGTTATTGTAAGTAGTTTGTTAACGAAACCGATGTGCTGTTAATCAATATATACTCTGGCGCTTTTGATTAATCATATGGAATTTTGTAATTGAAATCTCCTCTGCTGACTAAAAATTGCTCAGAAGGTTAGCTATTGTATTAAAGGAATGATATAGCAGGAGTTATAATCAGCTGTCTACCAGACTATGTTCCGATATCAATCCAAACATTGATTTAATTCATCTTTTTATTACCTTTTACGTACTTTGAAGCTTTTATTAACTTCTATAATTTATATCCTGTTGAAGCGGGGCTGCGGGGAAACAAAGGTATTCTCCCTGGAGTTGAACTGGCTCCAAGGAGACGGGAACCTGGCTAAGCCGAGCGAGTCTGCAGTCAGGCAAGGCACTGCTGATGCTTGACCTGCCTGTCTCATGGGCGAAATTGGAGGTGTGAACGAATATGCTCAGTCCTGGAGCCAAAGCGCTAATGAGCAGTCACGCTGGAGCTAGATCATGTTGATTGTGAAGCATTTTTTTAAAGGCTTTAATGAATAATATTGACATTTCAGGATTCTCTAGAAATTCCCTGGCCTTAAGTGTTAGCAAATATGTCAGGCTGACAAATATTGTGGTGACATGACGGCTATCAAAGTATATATACTGTATATTAGAGAGAGATTACTGAAATGAAACTAACGCAGTATCCTTTAGATACTTACAACAGGAATTAACATCATTCATTTTTGACTGACATTTTCCATTTCAACTCATACCTGAGAAATATTCTACAATATGATTCCTTCTCCTATTGCAATATATATGCTAATGCCACTCCAATACAGTCGCACAAGTGCTTTTGGTGACTGTATAATGTTGCACTGGGACACAGGATATTGCAGATTCCAAACAAAGGACAGAAACCATTAGCAGCAAAAATTACCATAAGAGGATGTGTAAGGAAATGAAAAATAAAACCTTACTGGGGCCTTGAGACTAATACAAATCATATAAGCAAACGTGCATCTCGTCTGCTACAAATATGTGGCTCTGCAGTTAGATTAGAATGAAGGGTTATGTGATATATTTTTCTGAGTGATACCAGCTGTATTCGGTGTACAGTCGGGTATAAAGCTGTTCTGCTCCAGCTGAGCTAAACCAAAGGTAATCCTTTTTTTAGCTCAGCGGTTAAATCACTCGCCTCGCAAGCGAGAGGACCTGGGTTTGATTCTCAGGCAGGGCGAAATGTTGGGCAAATTTCCTTACTCCACACGCCTCTGTTTACCTAGAAGTAAGTAGGAACCCGGTTGTTAGTCGATTGGCGGATCACTTTTCCGGGATAACAATTCCTTCAAAAAAATAATAATGATAATATATTGATCACTCAATCCACGACTGTTTATGGGACACTACTCTGTGCAATTGGCTGCTGCGTTTCGCCCACAAAATATAGTCAATTCACTTTACAGTCAATTCTGTGAGGCGATTTGAGACATCTCGAAGACGTAATAAGGTGCGATATCAAACGCAAGGATTATTATTATTATCATCATCAGAGGTACAGCCTTGAGTGAACGGTACCAGGGAATAGGACGCAAGTGGTTATCGATGCTGTCATAAAGCACAAGCTGGAAATCATGTGGAACTGAAAGGTTGTTCAAGGTTGCAAAGTTTGGCTTTGTTCCTCCCTACCTCTGTGACCTGTCCCTCCGCTCAACGGAGCTCTGACCTGTTCCATGTCTCCTGCCCTGCCCGGCTCACCATCGGCGATCGGGCCCTCAGCCTTTCTGCCCCAACCCTCTGGAACTCCATCCTATTCTCTCTGTCTCTCCCCTCCTTTGCCTCCTTGAATGCCCGTTTCTATATTCTCCTCTTCGACCATTCCTTCGCTCACCCTCCTACCCCTACCCTTCCTGCCCTCCATCCCTCCTGACCTCAACTACCAGCTCAGGTGCAGATCCCTGACTGTCCAGCTCTTTGGGACGTCCTCCTGACGTGAAAGGTGCTATACAAATGTAATTTGTTGTTTGTTATTGTTATGAAGTGACTATCCTCCTTGGGGGAGAGGTAAGCAGGGTCTCCTTGGGGATGAACTGGCTCCAAGGTGACATGCCTGGCAATGGAATGTCAGAATCAAACCAGCCCTCTGTGGCAGTCTCAGTAGTCCGGATCCTGAGCCAGGTGGGTCCGCAGTATTCCAGGGCAGTATTCCAACAATCCATCTCTGGAATTTAAAGGTGGAATATATGGAATTCTCAGCTTGGTTTGGATAATCTTAAACACGGTGTTGGATTTCCGCATGTGTCAGATGTCAAGATAAATCTCTTACCTCTATCTGCTTCTGTGCGAGAAGGGGATTTGGATCGGATTTTCCCTTCAGTTCCATTAGATTTTTCTTTCTTCTCTTTTGGCTGTGCCTCGACTCCAGATCGACCGCTTTTAAAAAATAAATTCATAAACGTTTTGGAACGCTCCAACTTGGCTCCTTCCCCGGAAGACTTGTGTTTCTTTTTCTTTTTCTTCTTATCCTCTAAAGATACGACCAAAAATAATTAAAACCCAAGATAAAGGCCAGCCAATACCCACCCTCTTCCCCCACACACTTTAAATGTACCAGTTAAACTGATATCATGTCTTATTTTCAAAATGGAGGTCACTTGATCCTGGACATCAAGATGATCAGGGTTGGATTACCAACAGTTGTCTCCAGGTGAACACATAAATAAATGCGCTTTACCTGGTTTGCCAGCAACTTAAGCACTTGAATCAAGGTCATGCTTGGATCAGAAATATTTTAGATTGGAAAGACTGATTGTCAATTTCCAAATGGATTTATTCATTCAGGAATTCAATCTTCACTTGCACTTAAAATGGAATTATCACATGCAATATATTCCAAAGTGCTAGAAGTCCTCTTTTAGCATCTCAGTCCTTGTTACTGTGTTTTATTATTTTAAGCTGCTAATTAGAAACCTCCAGGAGCAGACGTTCATGCTGAAATGTCTTGATGTGCAAGTGTGCCTCGCTGGCATCAAGAAAGGTGATGACGTCCATTTCAGACATTTTAAGTAGACCTATATGTAGTACTGTATATGTGGGAACGTGGGAGATATGTGCAATATATAACCAGAGACTGCTCTTAAAAGATTGCTCTTCAATAGGAACTGATTCTGGAGCAAAGACTGAGACACATATTTCCCCACTAGTAAGTAACTTTTAGGGTAGTTTTCCTCGGATATTCACTCTTGCTGTTGAGACATTTTCAAAGCTGACAACTCCCCAATCATTTCCTGTACTCTTCTTGAATAATAACAATCCTTGCATTTGATTTAGCACCGTATCATGTACTTCACAGAATATACTGTAAAGTGAATTGACTGAATTTTGTGGGTGAAATATTTAACATTAATTTCGTATTTATATATTTGTTGCTTTCATACTTATTAACTAACAAAATTGATTGCTATTAGCTAATTATATGCCCTTTTGCTGGATTTCTTTCAATTTGCTCCCTATTTTGGGACCTATTTTGCTGCTCCTGCATCATGTTGAAATCTTCTTTAAGCTTACATATTATCTATGCAATCTCCTCTTCAAGGTTATTTTGTGAAGATTATAATAATGATAATAATAATAATACTTGCACATGATAGAACACCTTTCATGCCGAGGAGACGTATGAAAGTGCTTCACAGGATTTTACTGTATTTAGAATTACACAGAATCATACATACAAATACAGGTTATTTGGCCCAACCAGTCCATGCCAGCCCAGGCAAACAGAGTGGAAGAGATGAAATCCTTGATTTGTGCTGAATTAGTTGATCTCATCTAAGGCAGCAATGGAACACTGTAAGTGTCCTCATTGTCTTTAGTCTATTGGGTGATGAACATGCCAGAGTTATTACCTCGTGACCCCCTGTTAGAAAATACCTATATTTGAACATCGAGTGAGAATAGGATTGGGATCAGTTGTAAGATTTTTCCCTACCCCCAGGGTGGAAAAGCCTATGGACACTCAAGTGTTTACGCTCAGAAATGCAGATCCAGCTGCTAAGGGGACATGCAGGTTACCAGCATTCTATCATTTCTGAATTCAGGATGGCAAAACAAGTTTAAAACACAAATAAACCCTGAGTTTAAGCAATTGCAATTCAAGTCACTGACTCACCTCCGATAGTGATGTAGCTTTGTGATCTTCTGATTGGCCTCCTTGGTTTACTTAGTGCCATCAACACAGCAGTTTTGGGAGAATCCAAAACCTCATCGGAAGAGTCCCCAGTGGAGTAAGTTCTTGGCTTAGTGCGAGTTTCCATGAAACTTTCTGACCTAATTGCTGTCTCCTTCAAAAGCATTGTGCGCCCAAGGGACCTACTTCTCTCATTCATTGCCTTTCCTGTCCTCTGTTCACTTGAAAGGTCAATGTTCGAGGAAGGAGACAGCTGGAGGTCGGTTTGTATAGCAGTCTCTGTTGTCTCCAGATGGTTGTTCCGAAGGGATTTTGAATCCTCTGTGGAGATACATACATCTACCATGTCAGATGAATAGTGGGTGGTTGGGAGGAAGCCCTGCGAAGAGCCACTCGTTGAGCTCAAAGGTGAATAAGATGAGATGGAAGAGTTTGTGTCTGAGGCAAAGAGCTGATGATTATTTGTCACTGAAATAAAAAATGGCACTGTAATTCAGTCTTTAGTAGTAAGTTCGGCCAATGTAAGATTACACATTTCTTGCAAACTAACGCTTTATAGAGTTATATCTAAACAATAAATTTCCTCTTTTAAAAGGTCTTTTAACAGAATGCACAAAAAATATTCAGCAATCTTAACGTAGAAATATTTAGGGACAGCTTTAGACCCAACCCTGCCTTTGTTCTTGACCGCAGTAATGGGCGGCATGATCTCCACTCCCGCACTGCAGTCCGTCAAAGAGTCCTCTGGAGCTGAAGGGAAGGCAAGCGGTTAACCTTACCAACCGCGTCCTCCCAACCTCCGGCTACTGCCGCTGCCATGGGAGACGGTTCACCGGGGAGGGAGGGAGAGCGGGTGGCCCAAGCTTCTCGAGCTGGATAAAATCACCCCCCGATGCAGCCCACGGGCCACCTGTTGGATCACACTGGCACCTAAAGTAGATGATCAATTTTCCCTGAATGAAAACCAAATAAAATCTCACCATCCTGTCTACAAAAGGAAACAATGTAAACACAATATATATATATATATATAGATACACACACAAAAAAATTGGTTGTTTTTATGTCTTCGGTGTAAGAAAATTTTAGTTGGTAAAGATAACCACCAATAAAAGAAAACTTCCCTTTTGGACCCTGGTTCTGTACTGTGCCAGTTTTACACCAGTATATCACAGTGTTAGGTAGATAAGTAGATCAACATTTATATAACTACACCAACAAGTAATAAGACGTGACCCAAATACTTTGTAATCTGATTTATGTACACACCCCTTGCTTGCCATTTTCCCTATTATGGGCTAGGTGTGTAAATGAAACATATCAAGATTTTCCAGATGGTGTAGAGATCAAATTACAGAACTCTAATTATACAACTTAAGCCAGTTTATTACCAGCATTTATTACCCTCCAGAAATTAGTATTTGTAGAGATGACAAGGTTTGCGATTGTGTTAAGTTATACGCACAGGTTTATAGACATGGGAAAAAGTATCTATGAAACAATAAGCCAGGTGAAATGCTGCTGGCTTCATTGCCTGTTTCCAAGAGCTAAAAAGTGACTTTCCCTATTTCATTTAGATTGGTTTCATTTTCAACAATAGGAAAGAACACTAGAGTTGGGCTCTCAGTCTTGGCACATGGTAATAACTTCAACAAACAACCAAATCTGGACTCAGTGAATGGACGAATATACAGAGATAGCTATTTGCCAAAGAAATTAATTGAGGTATATGAGAGATGGGAGTTGTTTATGATTTCATTTCAAAACTGGACAGAAGGGCTACAGTGATTTTTTCTGATCATTCCCATGTTTCCAGGCAAGATCGGATGAGATGGGGGGAATAACTTCTTCCCATAACCATGCTTTAGAGTGTTTTTAATAGTGAAGTATGAATATGTGGTGAGTTCTAAATATGGAGCAATGACAAACAATTTCAGATGATACTACTTGTTGAGATTTCCCCTGTACTTACATTTGTTCAGCCAGGTGTATTCTGCTACCATTTCCTTGTATGCAGGATACTTGCCCACCTCCTAAGCAAAGACGAAAAAGACGTCACCGAACTGTATGTCTTAAATAACAAATGCATAAAACATTTTCGCAGGGAAACAGCACATGAAATAAACTGAAATCGAAAAGCACAGACAATCATCACACAAGGAGCACTGTTATTTTGTGGGCTTTAATTGTCCAAATGATTTAACATTGACGTCATGTGCACACTCAACCAGCATTTATTTCTGGGTGTAAACACTGTTAGCTCTTCAAAAACATTATAATTAAGAGTGTTTTGTAAGAATGTACTCTTTTTGGGATATACATCTCTTTCCTGAATTTACTGGTTTGCACAATAAGTGCATTCAGTTTTTGTGCGTCATTTTGTTCATTTGCATGGAAGATCTCAATAGTGAGGAGCCATTAATATCCAAAGCCATCTTTACTCTTTATTTGTTTAGATACAGCACTCAATATTCACACTAATAAGTGTCTAGTGTGACATAATAAATGGAATGATGAATATTTTATGTTGATTGACAATTAAGTACAAAAGAGGCTGCACATTACTAAAGATCATGTCCATATATAACAACTGTATGTTACTTGTTGCTGCATATATTTTTAATGACCTCCTTAAACAAGACTGTGCTAATTTTTGCTTCGCCTGAGTTGTACAATGGAACACAAAATGTTAAGCTTAAAAAGTTAAGACCAAGTTTTTGTTGGTTTCCAAGAGAAGGGAGTTTCTTCCGGTGTCCTGGTCAACAATAAAATTGGTCATTCACTTCATGGCTGTTTGGGGCACGTTGCTAAACACAAAATGACTGTTACAATCAGGTACCGAATAAGCAGCTTTGAAATGTCCTCAGGAAATGAAAGGCGCAATATCAAATGCTAAGGATTATTATTTAATATTATATTTCATTGCACAAAATCTCCTCTAACTAATTATGTAAGGAAGCAGCACCTCAAACACTGATATAACACTTCTGATAGAGTGATGTGTTTTGAGAGTTTCAACCCCAGGCAAGGCGATCAGCTCGACGGACAAAATAATAGTGCGCAACTATGTTGTTGTGGCATCTATTTTGATGTATGATGGTATCTGTGTTGTAGATCAGCATTTTAAGTCTGTTTTGGTTATATCGCCATTGACTCTCCTACTAGATCCTAACATATTAATTTACAGCAAGACAATCAGAAAGTACAACCTAGAATCCTAATTTTCCCAGTTGTTGCATGGGAGCCTATGTGCTCAGTGTGTAATAGAGATAGGAAGCTACTTAGTACAATCAAGAATTTAAATTGATCCTTTTTAGGCTTCCAATTTTATAATTTAGTTGAAAATTACACACAATTATATTTTTTGAAAATAAAGTATTTTTTGCATACAAATTAAGCTTCTATTTTCTTACCGTGACAGAGCAATGCATTGTCAAGAAAAGTAATAACCTATGCTCCTCACTGTGGTAATTTTTATATGCATAATTTATAGTTTGCTATTTCGGATAAAGTGATAAGGAAACAGAGTGTTAACAGTTTGTCTAGATTAATTTAGAGAAATATGCAAGTACAATACCAGAGAACATTTATATATCTGTACCCGAAGAGTTTACTGCATATTAAATGTAGTATTTGTTTAAGCCTTCTGAACATTCAGTCTGACATTAGCTCCAGAGGATATTGAAGTCGGGTTCTTGCCAGCAGTGTTCCGTTTATATAAAAGTCAATCAAAGTGGAATTATTATTACTATTATTCTAAACACTAATTCTGATCAGCGTTTTCAGTTGGGGATCTGCAATTTAAATCTTACAAATATCACTAACGGTAATGTGGTCACTCAATCCACGACTGTTTGTGGGACACTGCTGTATGCAACTGGCTGCCAAGTTTCGCCCACAAAACACACAGTCGTGACACTTTACAGTTTATCCTGTGAAGCGCTTTGAGACGTCTCAACAATGTGATAAGGCGCTATATCAAATGCAAGGATTATTATTTATTATTATTATAAGCCTTGCTTAGCTTGGTGAAATCTTCAATATTGACTGCAAAATTGTGGCTGTGGCTCAATTTTCTTTTACCCCGTGTTTGGGGCAAAGTAAAACAAATCAGACAGCAATCTCCACACGCCTCTGAATGGGGGCCACTTAGCAGTTGGCCAAGAACGGCATTGAGAGTAGCCGAGCAGCAAACTATCCATTCTGCCCTTTTGAAAACACCAAGTACATGAGTTGGGTTAGGATTGGTTGGGAGACAAGCTGCAAGGCAAGGAAAATGGGAGGAACAAGAAGGGTATACTCTAAAAATGTTATCCTTGATAGATTGGAATGAACAGAATTTGAGACAATTTATTTTATGGAATCAATTTTAGCAATCATTACTGAAAATCAACAAATAGCTATCCTAAATGAAGAAACTCAGGGATGCTTAGCATTGTCTTACAAGAGTGTAATTTAAAAATCATACGGTCCTGATGATGATATAAGGATTAAGATTGAAGTACAGCCAAAACCTTCTCCCTAGATTTTATAATATATGATGAGGCCATTTTTGTAATAAGAATCGTGTGAAGAGCTGCCTCGAATGCCTGGAGACAATGCCTGGAATTACATGTTAGAGATCTGAGGCAAGGTAGTTGCCATCATTTTGTGAGGTTTGAATAAGACTGCAATGGTTCATATTTCTGAGTGAAGCATACTTACTATTCATTACCGCTGAGTAATTTGTACATGTGTTTTTTGGAGGGGGAGGTGGGTGGGGCTTTGTGCTAATGTTCAAAAGCTTCTGGATGTGTGATGTTTTCAATTCACATTACCAGCAGCTTTCTGCTAAAAGCGTTACAATTGATGTTATCCGAAGGGAATAATTACAGTGACTGGAACTGAAAAATGATATGGTGACATGATTCGTGAAACAGTATAGTCAGATTGCAGCTTGTAGTAGGGTGCTATGTCATATATTAGAACAATGTAAAATTTCAATGCACCGTTTTACAATCCTTACACACAAAGGACACTGCTGCTAATCTGAAAAGATCAGGTTAATATCTCGTTATTTGATGAATTCTAGAATTATCTTGAGTTCGAGTCTCTATAATCCTAATAATGTTAATTATAATTATCTATACCAACAATGTTAATTCAACCCTTTTTCACAAAATCCATTTCTATATTAATAAATGCAATGTGAGCACAGTGTCCAAGCATCAACAAATGTAAAGATTAGTTTTGTTATGTTGTAATACAATTGTTGTATTACAGCCTAATGCCCATAAAATACAATTACGTTACAGTATATCCTGTGAAGCGCTTTTAGACGTCTCAACTCCGTGATAAGGCGCTAAATCAAGCGCAAGGATTATGATTATTATTATTATGTTGTTTTACCTTTATAGTCAGCATAATGTGCGTATGGCATTTCAGGATTTCTACTGCTTTACTATGGCTGATGTTCTCGAAGCTTATTCCATTGGCTGCCAGGATCTGGTCTCCAACTTTAATCCCATTCTGTTCTCCCAGGCCTCCAGAATCAACTCTGTCATTAAATAACCAAAATGAATACAAAGGTTCTTAATAGTCTTGTCTATAACTAACCAGCAGTCAATCTTTTATTCCCTAAAAAATTAAAGCATTAACATTTGATGTGCCAAAAATTCTGACAAGGGGTGGAACCTTGTGACTCAGAGGGGAGAGGGCTACCAATTAAGCCAGTCCAACACAAATTTTCATCTCTTGGAGCGATTTAAAGTGCTTCCCCAAAACATGAAGTCCATATAGGTTAATCTCTCTGCAGTAATAATAACAATCTATGCTGGGATTCTCTGTTCCACCAGCAGGAGAAGAATTGCATTAGTTTATTGTTGAGGGAGCAAAACATGTTCAATAGCTAAACAGTAATTATTGCAATCTCCATCATTGTAGAGTCCTCTAGTGTAGTAAGAGCACTCGCTTCGCAAACAAGAGGACCAGGGTTTGATTCCCGGGCAGGCGAAACATTGGGCATGTTTCCTTACTCCACACGTCTGTTTACCTAGTAGTAAGTAGGAACCCAGTTGCTGGTCAATTGTTGGATCGCTTTTCTGGGGGTAATAATCTCTTCAAAATAAAAATAATAATTTGGTCACTTAATCCACGACTGCTTGTGGGACACCGCTGTGGGAAAGTGGCTGCCACGTTTTGCCCACAAAATATAGTCAACTCGTTTTTCAGTATATTCCTTGAAGTGCTTTGAGATATCTCAAAGACATGATAATGAGCTATATCAAATGCAAGGATTATCATTATGAAACTAACAATGTGTTCTTGTGGGGAGAGAACGTCAGGCAAACTCAGTTTAATGTAGTCATCTTCGGTATCTGCAAACTAATAGGAGATATGGCTGATAGCTCTGCTCTGAAAGTGCAAGATCTGCATAAAAATTTAAAAGACTGCAAAAGTTCTCGTTTCTGAATGAAATATTCTTATCATCCATTGCTGCTGAGTGACGTTTATGTTTGGACAAACCTTGAAAGGAGTTTGCACTATTACTCAACAGATAAAAGGTAATTATTGCAATCTCCATCATGTTCGGTTTATGCATTTAGTTAAGTCCCTTACAATTTATCTTGTAAAGGTAGAGCTCCTGCTACATCAAATCCTTCATGTAGGAGCCAGGGCAATGAACTTCATCGGGATTAAGCGCTCTGGGACGCAAATTGCAAGTCATTGCAATAACCCTAATGCAAGTTATTATTGTTGATTGACTGTGAGAAACATCACAACCAAGCCTTATACTGTCCTCCCTCGAAGCCCATGCACATTAACTTAGACACCTCCTTGAATGGAAATGTATATCTTACCTGGACACATATATTCCCAAACCAAATTCCTTCCCGCCTCTGATATTGAAGCCCAGACAGACATCGTCTGAACTGGTGTAAAGATGGACAATCCTTCTAATTCCATCCTCGGATCCACTATCTCCAGAATTATGTTTTTTTTCCGCTATTATTCTTTTTGTTGCTGTGTCAACCCTAAAAATTAACCAAAATAAAACCTGAGCTTCTACATCTGATTGTGGCATTCAAATTGCACCTGGAAGATTATAACAGGATGTCCTCCTCCTATCAGATGGATAAGCTTGCTGACAATACCTGTCATTAATGGTAACTCTTTCAACCATCAATTGCTTGTGTTGGCCCATTCCTCATCTCTAGTTCTATGGAAATGTAAGAGTACATATTTATCCAGTGGTATTTAATAACACACAGTGTCAGGGTATTGGATACACCTTTTACACTCGTAGATTGCTGTTTTCCTGTTGGCATTAGGATTGGTACAAAATAAAAAATCAGTATTGGTGAATTTTCACTCATGTAAGTTTCATAAATTGATTTAATTGTCATTGGGGGAAATGGAAAAAGTTTTAAGTGCGATAGAATAAATATGTAGTTCTCCTTTAGTTTGGTGAAGAGCTGAAAGAACCCATTGAAAAAATAACAATTACATCAGCAGGTCAGAGACTCATTCACTCAGGCTTTGACCTTTATAATACAGATTACTGGATCAATGATGCATCCAATTATTTCTACCATGGTCTTCACCTGTGTTTTACGTGTTAAATTAAGGCTCCATCGAGACATCTACCCTTGTCTAAATTCAATCTGGAGTATATATGTTACTAAAACTGTGCTTGTTTTTGGTAGTTTGTTTATTTACCATGTTGTCAGTTCTTTAGAAAACTTGATCCCTGGTACCTTGCCCAGTCGCCTCACTACCAAACGTAACCGATGGCTTCCAGTTAGCACAGTGACAGCACTTCCCATGGTGATATTTTCCAAATTGACTCCATTTACTTCCATGATTTTATCACCTAGGCACAAGCCACTTTTTTCTAGGCAGAAAAATAAAACAAGAAATAAAAAAACTTGATTAAGGAAGGTCCAATAAGGTTGTATTACTGAACTGTCACAATTCATCTCTCCCTCCAGCCCCAACTACGAGACTGGCAAAAAGCAGAAGAGAGATGAAACAAAGAGAATGCTCATGTGTCCAAAAGAAAACAATTTACATTTATTACAACATGTCTCCGATTTCCTCCAACCCAAAAATTCAATCTGTGTTGAAATTCATAGCAATCTAACTTTGCGTTTGTTCAACCTTTTTTTAAAAAATAACTATAGACATAATAGCTCACCAGCAGCACTTCCTTCTTCTACTTTGCTAACAAATATTCCCAGTCCGTGTTCACAACCCCCACGAACACTGAATCCCAGCTTGCCATCAGGGCTCTTCTCTACTGTGATGGTGTGGATAGCTTCAGCTGAATCACTTTCTTCAATACCAGCTGTGAAAAATGTTAACACGGTGTGACATACCTTAAGTGCATTCTTCAGTACTTTAGTGTAGATGTAAAACAATACCAATCTTGTCTGCATTGTTGAGGAAACTACAAATGTTTATAACAGTTACTTATTTCACATGTCTGTTGGAACTTGAGTAAAAAAAAATTCCTCTTGATTTCTTGTTTTTAAACTTGGCAATTTTTGACTTGGTTCATGGTATTTGAACCCTTTGTCAACAAAGGTAAATAGCTTTTTGGCAATTTGTTTTCTTCTGCTAATACAACAACAACAACAACAACAAGATTCCATTTATAGAGCGCCTTTCACGTCAGGAGGACGTCCCAAGGCGCTGCACAGTTGGGTCATGACCCGAGCAGGGGGGAAATGGTCAGGGTGAGGGAGGGAAGGGAGGGAGAGAGGAGGGGGGAAATGGTCAGGGTGAGGGGAGGGAAGGAGGGAGCGAGGAGGAGGAAGAGAGTCGAGAGGGGAGCTGAAGGCTCGGTCAAAGAGAAAGGTTTTGAGACCGGCCTTGAAGGAGGAAAGGGAGGAAGCGGCAAAGGTACTGGGGGATGGAGTTCCAGAGCCTCGGGGCTGAGAGGCTGAAGGCCCGACCACCGATAGTAGGGCGGTTGGGGCGGGGGACGTGGAGCAGACCGGAGCCAGAGGAACGGAGGGTACGGGCAGGTAGGTAGGGGGATAGTAGGTTGGAGAGGTAGGAGGGAGCAAGGCCGTGAATGGCCTTGTAGGTGAGGATGCGAATCTTGAAATCGATCCTCTGGGGGATGGGGAGCCAGTGGAGGCGAGCGAGGGTGGGAGTGATGTGGTCCCGAAGCCTGGTGCGGGACAGTACACGAGCTGCAGAGTTCTGAATGACCTGCAGCTTGTGGAGGGAGGTGCCGGGAAGGCCGGCGAGGAGAGAGTTCCCATAGTCCAGCCTTGAGGTGACAAAGGCGTGGACCAGGGTTTCAGCAGCGTGAGGGGTGAGGTAGTGCCGTAATCTGGCGATATTCCGGAGGTGATGGAAGGCGGTGTCAGTTGTGGTGCGGATGTGAGGGAGAAAGGACAGCTCAGGGTCGAACAAAACAGTCAAGCCAGGGCTGAATGTTTCATAGACAATGAGCACAATAATCCATATATCTTTCATGATCAGGAATGTTTTGTTCAATACTTTCTCTTTTTTTTTGGTGTCTTACTTCCATGCTAATTATTTCACACTTATCCAGATTGATATGCACTTGCTGCCTGCAGACCCAGTAATTTAGAAGATCCAAATCCATCTGAATCCACCTGAGCTGCCTCTCATTACTTACTGTCCTTTTGTTAAAAGATTTTAAAGAAAGCCAAAATGCTCATCATCTATATAGCACAGATCAGATTCCACAGTAGAAACCCATCTTTACCTGTATTGTTATCATATGCTTACCTTCAATTGGAGAATTACCGGTGATAAGAATTACTCTGCCCATGGGTGAGGAAGATCGGGTTGATCTCGGCTGTCCATTCATTTGCTTGTGCTGCTTCTTCAGCAGGTACTTTGTTGCTGTGTTTGCACCACCAGTCTGATTGCTGGGGTGGATAGTATTAGTCATCTCCCTTCTTGCTGAGTCAAAGGAATGAGCCATGCCAGTGCAGTGCGCCAACAAATCATCAAGAAATCAGGTTACTATAAGCCTGAGTGCAGCTATCGGACACGACAGATGACTCTGTTTGGTTACTGTGTTTGTTAAAATCAGACGTTATCACCCCAAAATGTTTATCTTGCATCTTTTCCATGAACTATGCTGAATTGGCGACATAATGTAGAAGCACAAGTTCAGAAGCAAGTGTTTCTTCTAAACAAGCCGTCGTTTTCCAATTGTTTCATCATCTCCACTCAGTCCTTGTCTAAAAGTAGCTTTTGGAGGAAGAGTGTGAGAATGGTAGTTAATGTGCCAAACCAAAGCAAGCCGGTAGAACACATTGCTTGTATCACGGTAAGTATAAAGTAGATTTAAGATAGGGAATGTGGTATAGCAGATTTGATACCAATCCCCAAAGATTACTACTTTACATACAAAATGTGGCAAATTATGTTTTTGAAAAAGGCTAACCAGGTTAATTAGCAAGTAACTGCACTTAAGGCCATATACTCAGAGCCAAGCGCTCTGAACCGCTACCCTGTGTGAGGTGAGCGGGGGCTATATCAAAGCAAGCCGCTGCTGTTCACAAAGAAAAGACCAGTGCCCAAATATAAAACATTCAATTTCTGTCCTGTTCCCTTCACAAGATGCTTAAAGTCAACATTTCATGCGTCATTTAAGATTTAGGATTAAATGTTATCGTCCTATAACCTGCAAAATATATTACATAAAACACGCTGTTTTTGCCCTGTAACCAGAAAATATCATAGTTCTCGAAAATTGTGTGTGGCGCTGGGGTGAGAGGGTACTGCAGTCCTATCAAACCCCAATTTGGGGGTGGTGGGGGGGGGTTGTGCGGCGGTTGGGTTGTCTGTTTTTCCCCCAAAGGAAAGTTCGCTGTGGCCAGGGTGTGAGCGGTGTGAATTTGTGCATTTGGGGCTAAATCTATAACCATCCTTGTACTTCATCTCGCAATTTATCATGTCAAAGCACCTCAAGGGGCTTCTGAGTTTTTTTTCTCTCTCTCTCTGGCGCGGTCCTGACTGACTGCGTGTTCGGAGGCAAATGAAGCAGCTGCCAATTATTTTGCAGCCACCAAACGACCCCGGAAATGGAAGCGAATGGCCAATTTTATTTGGGAGGCGTGGGTTGGGTGGGGAGGGGGAGGTTGTTGGCCGGGACACGCCGGGAGAGAATAAACTCCCCTCTCTTTCCCAATAGCTCCAAGGGATCCCCTTACCATCCCCATGGATGGGGGAGGGGGGTAATGACCTGAATTCAGTGCCTTGGAAGGAAGGCGATCACTCCCAGAGCTGCACTGGAGGGAGGGTCAGTCTCCCACTGTGTGAGCTCAAAGCCCCAGTCAGTGACGTATTGACCCGGAGAGGGGGGGTGGAGACAATCCCCATCGCCCCGCCCCCACCGCTCCGGCCCCGCCCCCACCGCTCCGGCCCCGCCCCCACCGCTCCGGCCCCGCCCCCTCCCCACCGGGACGTCGCCTAACGGTCGCTCGAGACGTCAGGAGTCGCTTCCACGTCGGGATGATGAGGGGGAGGAGGAGACCACGTAGGAGTTTGTCGAAAGAAGCATATGACCGTTTCCCGACGGGATGTCACCGGGTAATTACCGGGCGGTGAGGGAGGTACCACGGACAGCTCCTCGCCTCCGCCGCGCGCTAGGCCGGAGCCACACCCCCCCCCACCCCCCACCCCCCGCCGCCACCCAAACCCCCGCGGCTCCTCAGACCTCCGGGGGCTTAAACATCACAGCGGCGCCGGTTGGGGGAGGGTGGGGATCGCGCGTTCGCCCCGGAGAGGCCTTACCGGGGAGCCGTGACCGCTGTCCCCCGCCGCCCGGTCCTGTCACTCCGCGGCGACCTGTCCGCCCCGCCCCCCCCGTCTCGCGCTCTCGCTCCTCATTGGGCCGCTCGCATCCCGCCGCCCGCCGCCCCCATTGGTCAGCGTGGCTGTCAATCACCTCTCTCAACCACGCCCCCACACGCAACCCCTCCCCTTCCCTCACACACACACACACACACAGTATAACACAATGCAATGTACATTGTTTATTATTATTATTATTGATAATAATTAACGAATTAATTTATTATTAACAGCCATTCATAATAATCTGTGGGTAACGTCAACGCGTAATCACAATTCATTTAATCGTAATCATTTGTCTCGGATGTCAGTTCTCAATAATGTACTATCGAAGGCAGTCAGAAATAATGTGTTCCGAGTAATAATGTAATATCATTTGTACCGCCATCTGCAAATCGCTCCACCCTCTTGTGCATGACAATGTCACGCCAACAGCCACAAGGTGAGCGACTGACCAGCTTTTATCGGACAACGTTGGGCAGGACACTGGGAGAAACTCCCTTCTCTTTCCAAGCAGTAACATGAGATCTTTAACATGCATCTGGTCAGGCAGGCGGGAGTGAGCTTTCAGCCTACTTTCTCAAACTCCATCCTGGAGTCACTCCGCTTTGACCCCCCTCCCTGCCTTCAAATCCCACCGTAAGACCTATTTCTTCAACCACGCTTTCAGACACTGTCCCCTTGCCCCTCAGCTTCCCCGCCAACTAGGGTTCCCAGTTGTTTTGAGATTGCCTCCTGACAATGAAAGATGCTATATAAATGTAAAGTGTCATTATTTCAATGCAAAATGTACAAGCAAATAAAGCTTACTTACCTGAACCATTTGAAAATGTATGGATGCGTATTTATTGTTTTTTTGCGCGTGTGCTCATCAAGATGAAAGATGTAACCATTGCTAAAGCATTCCACTTCAGGCACTCAGTGCCAAATGGTTCTGGTGTAGTAGAATTTCATGCAGAGTGAAGCTCCCTATTCTTTGTCCAAATAGCTCCCTTAACCTATCCTCAGAAGAAGAGTAGCTCTATTACACCAGTGCAATATTTATATCAGAATTCACCTTTATGGTCTATCTCTCTGACTCACATTGTCAATCTAGTATCACTTTTGTTCCTTACCCATAGAAACGTATAGCCAAGATTGCCTAAATTTATTTCACCTTTATGCCTAAGCGTAAAGAAGAGACGGGGATTGGGTTTGAACCCAAAGGTGCAAGGGCAATATCTATATATAGCATCTTATATACATTCTGGTGAGTCCCTGTATGAACCAAAGGTGGTGTTAGGGAATTTGGTTTGTTAAATGTGAGCATCGCACAAAATAACTTGTAAAAAAATAAAAAGCTGTGACTTTGCACCAAGGAATATGAGTGTTATGAGGGAGTTGGAAAAGAATTGTGGCATCATAATTCAGAGGAAAGATAAAAGCTATTGTTAGGAAATGTTGTTAAGAAATAAAAATAAGTGAGTAGTTAGTGCATTTCACTTTACATCATATCCCAGTGAATATGCCAGACTGCTCTGGTGAGAAATTATGAAAAGAAAACCAATGAGGTGAGAAATTACAGAGGAGTGGGGACCTGACACTGAACAATGGAACAAAGTAAACCCAGAACAATACTTTCCGATATGCCATGAGGATTGGGGAAATGGTGGTCAATGACCAGAAGTAATGGGGGGAAGAGGAGATATTGTTGTCAAAAGAAGTAAGAGTGGCTCAAATGTTATGGTGAACTTCAGTGTAGAAGAGCATCACATCTTTGTGATTCTTTTTGCTAGTAAATGCGATGGCAAAGTCTGTGATAACTGAGAGCATTATAGTGAGTTACTGAAGAGCTTTGTAGCATATTCCCATGGGGGGTGTGGTGGGCGGGAGGAGAGAGCTATCACATAAATAGGAATAGACAATTTCTTTATTAAAATTGTTAGCAAAAGTTGCACTGGGTTGGAATATGTCTCTCAATTTCTTAGGATTTGGATTGAACAAGACTGTGTGGGATATCCTGGATCACATCTTTGGAATGTGTCTTAAAGGCTTCTCTGGAGGCACATGAATAAGCTGTAGGTTCTAATGGAGAAGCCCATCAAATAGTTTTGTAATGAAGTAGATTTGATGTGAAAAAAATTACCATATAGAGCACATTTGGCAATAGGTACTTTACGTTCAGAACACTTATTAGTAATGTGACTCCACTAATGGAGCGATTTCTTTTCCCAATATAGCATTACTTTCACACAGCATGGTACAGTAAAGTGTTGATTTAATGGCAGCTGCTTTAATGAGTGTTTTGCTACAGTATTCAATTTGGTAGTTCATTTTCACTATATTGAAAAAAAAGCTGCCAGACTGATCTATGCTTCTTTTATTTGGTAGCTTCCGTTGAATAATGTGTAGCCGGCAGTTTCTGCTCTCTTTGACAAAGATTTAAGGGAAATCATTTATTGCAACAAAGCAATCTAACTGTTGCGATGTGGATAATTTACAATACTTAATGTTGGGACTCGTGGGGCCCAATAATTAAACTTTGGGTGTAATGCCCAATTTACGATTGTATATGCTCTAAACGCTATCGCATGAGCAGCCAACACTGCAGCGGCAAGTGAGAGACGTGCAATATTATCAAAGCCAATGGCAAAGCGAGGAGATGTTGTCTTTTTCATACTTTGGAAGTGTCTTAACAACTCCCAATTAATTACCACCTAAAATACTTTGGGATCACGCTGCTCAACCCAAATTATAATGTGTTTTTCACTGTTAATCATTCGGAAAAGTTCATTGTAAGTACAACATGGGATAGGAACATATCTAAAGACTGTTGGCATGCAATATTGTGTGGCCTATGTAATTACTATATGTAAAATATAGCAACAATGGGTAGCCTTACGTGCAAAGGAAAAGACAAACATATCAAGGCCTTGGAAAGGGTGCAGAGGAGATTTACCAGAATGGTACCAGAATGATGAGGTACTTCAGTTATGTGGAGAGACTGGAGAAGCTGGGATTGTTCCCCTTAGAGCAGAGAGGGTTAAAGGGAGATTTAATAGAGGTGTTCAAAATTATGAGGGATTTTGATAAGAGTAGACAGGGAGAAACTCTTTCCACTGGCAGGTGGGTCAGTAAGTAACCAGTGGACATAGATTCACGACAATTGGCAAAAGCACCAGAGGGGAGATGAGAATTTTTTTTACACAGAGAATTTTTACGGTCTGGAACGCACTGCCTGAAACAGATTCAGGAACAACTTTCAAAAGGGAATTGGAGAGGTTCTTGAAAAGAAAGAAATTGCAAGGATATGAGGGGAGAATGGGGAGTGGGACTGATTGGGTAGCTCTTCCAAAGAGCCGGCACAGGCACGATGTGCCAAACAGCCTCCTTCTGTTCTGTAATATTCTATGATTTTATGATTCTATCTAAGATGAGAGCAGTTCATTAACAGCCAAAATATAGGAGGACAAGACCAAGTGTACCAAGAAGTGGTGCATCACACAGTGTAATGAACTAATGTTTTTATATTTGTGGTTTGCTACGACCAAGCTGGAAATCAATGCACTTTTCAAATGCACTTTTCACTTCAAAACATCATCTTTTCAATTGAATTTTAAAGCAAATGACCCAAGAGGCAGAGGGGTTGACACTCCTCCCCATAAAGAATATTGATACGCAATGGTACAAAACACTACAGTAAATTATCATTGACTCGTACATTTATTAGCAATAGAACTTAATCCCAATTGACCTGGCATTAGTAATAAAATAAATCCAGATTGCTCTGTACACAGGACCTAATTAGGCCAGTGGGCACAAATCACTGATGCTGTCTCTGACCTTAGCACAGTGAACTAAGTCCTGACATTTTTCCTGTTAATGGACTTGCTAACATTAGCAACCTGAGCAATTCATAGCCTGCTGCATGGAGCACTCGCTTTAAAATACAGAGACAGCCTTATACCTTTTTAAAATTCTAAAAGGGGTTGCTAAACCTTTTCTTGACATGCAATCTTGTGCGGCAGTATAATGATATGGTGCTATGCCATGAGGAATTTAACAATGCTGAATTCATTTGTAATTTGCATTTCAATTTGTGCTTGCACATTTACAGATGCAACAACAACAAATTACATTTGTTTCGCGCCTTTCACGCCATAACGACATCCTAAGGCGCTGGACAGTCAGGGATCCACACCCGAGCTGGTGATTGGGATTAGGAGGGGTGGAGGGGGTGGAGGATAGGGGTAGGAGGGTGACGGAAGGCACGGTCGAAGAGGAGGGTCTTGAGATGGGTCTTGAAGGAGGCAAGGGAGGGGGCGAGGCAGAGAGACTAACTAGACTTGACAACAGTTACCTGCCTTGAGACGTTTTGATGTTGTAGATTCAATATCAAATAAAATAATTATTATCATTAATACAGATTATACATTGCATACTGAAAGAGATTGACCCTAGTAAAATTTAAAATCGTATGGGAAAGAAGGCAGGTCACTATGTGTATATATAGGAGCTTGTTGCAATGTCAGATGGTAAAAGTCTGCTGCCAGCTGCAGGCTGGTACAATGTAAACCGTTCATTGGAGATGTTTGATCTGTTTGAGGCGGAAATATAACCAGCGTAGGTTGCAATCAGGAGCTTTCGGTGGGGACAAGAAGGAGAATAGCAGTGCCTTTTGCAGGGCATTAGTAAGTGATCAATGCAGATTGCTTTATTGGCACATTGGCCGCTTCCCAGATCATTGCATTACGAACGTAGAGACATTACACCACTCATGTCAGCAAGCTGCTATGCTGTCACACTAACCTTAATTGCTAACTATATTTGCTAATGGCTACTGATGACAGGATGGATATATTTTCGTTGTAGCTCAGTTATGCTTTATCACTAAATTATGTATTGCATGTCGTTTCCAATTAGTCATTCATTTTAATGGGCAAGGGAGCTTACGAGGACTGTTGGATAAGCGGGCCAGGAATACATCACCATTTAGCAGCTTCCACTGTCATTGTAAGATATTAAACGTAAGGAAATACAGGCAAACTTTCACTGTGTTTTGGCCTCCATTGATTTGCCTGTTCCACATTCCGACTTAAAGCACTATCTTCTAATTAAAAAGGCAGACAGTATTTGACTCGTTTGACTGCCAGGTTAACACAGCTCTTAAACTAGACACGAGGGGGAGCACAAGAGCTGTACACACAGCAAACATCCTATCCCCCACTTGTGAGAAAAATAAATTGCATCTCGATAGCTATTTGTACATCAAAATGCTTCACAAGTGCTTTACAGTGATTAATGTTAAGTGTAGAGGCAGTTTTTTTCAGGCAGATGTAACATTCATTTTCCGCACAATCAGATCCTGCAAATAGCCATGAGGTGAATGATTCAACAACAACAACTTGTATTTAGATAATGCCCTTCAACAACAACAACTTGTATTTAGATAATGCCCTTCACATGATTGTTGGCCATGACAAGTAGCATCAAGGAATCTTTAACGTCCACCCCAGGACAGGCAGGTGGCTCCTTGGTTTAACTTCTCATCCAGAAGACAGCATCTGCATCAATGTAATGCCTGTCCTTAATGCTGAAAGATTAGCCACATCACCAGTGGAGCATCTTATTGTGAAACTAGGCAGCATTGTATGTTTAACAATAACATTGAACGTATATGTTAATCGGTGACATTGACTTGTCCTTGTGTAAATGTCACATTAACAAGAAAAATGCCGATTATAATTATTTTCTCACCTCTTTTGAGACTGATTGTTTTCTTTACAATTCCCCTCACCGTCCAAGTTTCTTTTTTTAATCTACTCGTGTTGAAACTGACAAATTACAAGCTTGTTAACTTGATATTGAACATCAAACTAATGGGTTTCCTGGAATTGCCTAGTATATCTCTCTAATTTATACAAATGCACATGTAAAAATCACACTTAAATTACAGAATGTGAGGAATTTTTTTAACAAAAAAGTTATTGTTGAGCTGCTTTTTGTTGCAATAGGTGTCAGCTTGGCTCAGTTGGTAGCACGCTTGTCTCTTGAATCAGAGGTTGTAGGTTCAACGTGCTGAAGGGAAGCACTGCATTGTTGGAGGTGCCATCCTTCAGGTGAGATGTTAAACTAAGGTCCCCTCTGTCTATTCAGGTAGACATTAAAGATCCCGTTGAAACTGTTCAGAAAGAGAAGGGAGTTTCTCATGGTCTCCTGGCCAACAATCCCCAAAGATTAAATTGGTCACTCAAGTCAAGGCTCTTTGCGGGACATTGTCATGAGAAAATTGTCTGTCGTGTTCGCCTACAAAATACACAGTCACTACACTTCACAGTAAAATCACATAAAGCGCTTTGAGGCATCTTGACGAAGTGATAAGGCACTATATGAAGTGCAAGGATTATATTTACAAACATAAAAAAAATCTGGATTTTTAAACAAGAAAAACTATTTGCCTTAATGTCTCATCACTTTTTATTTCTAGTCTACATTACGTAAATCTGCACAGATTTATACAATAGGTAAGATGCCTGCGTATTTTCTCTGCCCCCATATTCTGGAACTCCAGCCCACAGTCCCTTTGCCTCGCTTCCTCCCTTGCCTCCTTCAAGGCCAGTCTCAAGACCTCCTCGTCGATCGTGCATTGCTCTCCCACCTCTCTGCCTACCCCACCCCTCCCCCATGTTCGGGTCCTGACCCCTGACTGTTCAGTGCCTTGGGACGTCCTCCCGACGTCAGAGACCCTCTATAAATGTAAATTTGTTGTTGTTGAAAAATAATCTGTTTTGTTGCCTCTGTTATCAAATTCATGACAAAGCACAGACTATCCATGCCATTGCTTACCATCAAATGCTATTTGCATTGATCAGATTTCTATTTTAATAAAAAGCACTTTTTTCATTAAAACTAACACATCAGGTTGTGACAAACTTATTTGTTTTGCTGCATCAGGGTACTTTGCAGCATGGTGAAGTCCTGTAGCTTAGTAGTTAGAGCGCTGGCCTCGCAAGCAAAAGGACCTGGGTTTGATTCCCGGGCAGGTTTCCTTACTCCATACTCCTCTGTTTACCTAGCATTAAGTAGAACCCAGTTGTTAGTCGATTGTTGGATTGCTTTTTCAGGCGTAATAATCCCTTAAAAAACAAATTTGGTCACTCAATCCACAGCACTGCTGTGTGCAATTGGCTGCCGCGTTTCGCCCACAAAATATACAGTCAATTCACTTTACAGTATATTCTGTGAAGCGCTTTGAGACGTCACAAAGATGTGATAAGGCGTTATATCAAATGCAAGGATTATTATCATTATTATTATTGTCTATTAATTCAGAAATAAAGAACATGTGGGCATGGCCCCCTTAGGATGCACAGTAAACCTCAAACAAGCCGGCCACAGAATGCATGCGGTAGAAGATCCCCAATGGCAGAGTGATGTTCACAATAACAACCCAAGAGGTGAAGCCGTAGAAATTCTGTTCCAATTCTCTCACCAGGTGAGGACGAGTGCCAAAGGCATAGAGAATCCAGAGCTGGAGAAGGCAAAAAATATGGATAAGTTAAGAGTTCACAGTGAAATTAATTTAAATAAGAACAAGATAAGTATCTTGTTTATCTCTTTCCGCTTTCAATACCTGTTTCCCTTTCACTTTTACTGTGCTTATGGCCATCTTCTCACACCCCTTCCCTCCCCCCCCATCTTCCACACAGCTCCCTCTCCACTCTGTCAGAAATGTGCTGTGTGATGTTCTATGTGAAAGATTCCATAGAAGTGCAGATTGTTTTTGGTTAGAATGGGATTAAAGCTCTAAAGTTGAGTAACACTCCACTTTACTTCACAAAACATAGCAGCACTGCACATTACAGGAAATCTGTACAATACAGTATATCATGTGAAGCACTTTGGGCCGTCCTACCGACATGAAATTGTTTGCCTCAAATGCAAGGATAATTATTATTATTATTATTATTATTATTATTATTATTATTATGACTACTATTATTATTACTGCACCCAGGGTTTCAGGAGCTAAATTGTAAGGCTGACAAAAAGATTGGTAAATAGCAGCTGTTATCGCAGCCTGTTATCCTCTAAAACTTGCACGGATGCTGACTTGACAGAAGCTGGAATTGAAATTAACGTGAGATTAACAGTGGTCCGGGTGGAAGAGCCATTGAGGCAGTTTAGACCTCAGTGACTCTTGTGTTGGCTGTGACAGGGGAAATGCTGAATTAATCTGATCAGTGCAGGTTGTAAGGTTAGATCAATATTCCGCGTGTTTTGCTCGATTGACCTTCAGGATCGCAGAGAAATTTAAACAGGGTTTAGCTCAGGGGAAAAAAGCTGAGAAGTGGAAATTCTACCTGGGTCTGAACTTATCTCATTTATATAGCATTTCAGAGCATCCAGAATTTGGCAAGTTCTTAATTACAGCGCTAACTTCGAAGCCACTTCTGAGAAAGTATCAAGAACTACAAAAAACTGGCTTCGAAGTTAAGACTGAATTCAACAGTTTGGCAATTTTCGGCTTGCTCTGGAAGTGTTGCGTAAATAGAATAAAGCTTGACCCGGGTGGAATTTCTCCCCTGAATTGAATAGTCTGTAATGGGCAAAATTGTGCATAAGAACATAAATACATAAGAATTGCTAGACAAAAGAAAACCAAGGTACATCCAATTCGCCTTCCACCATCCTGGCAGTCACATGCACACTTCATGTCCCAAACTATATGTTATTATTTCTTAAAAGAAATCTATCTAATTTGCTTTTTGAAAGAATCAACACTTTCTGCTTCCACCGCCTCCCTACGGAGCCTGTTCCATTAATGCATGAGGTGATGGACTAAGTCCCTTTTCTCTTGCAATAGTTTTCTTCCACGTGAATATTGTGATCTTGTTTGGAGGCTAAAGTTTGGCGGTATGTAATAGAAATGTCAAGTAAAACTGGTAGTGAACACAAACTATTGTGCTATATACAAATCTCCTTGACCCTGTAGTGATACATTTCAGTGGAGTGGATACACTACTGAGGGGAGTAACACAACTTAAGGCCGTGTGGTTAAGTCCTCTTGCTAACGTTTCAGTAAAATGCATCAGTTTACAGGATAATCACAGGCTCTTTTTTCTCCCATCTAAAGCTGATTCTAGTGATAGCAAATTAGGGGCCTGACATGCTCCTTGACCCACAAAAATAATCAATTGGAACTCCAGGACATCAGTCGAAGCTTACAGTCTACACTAACCAAATGGATCCAATAGATGACATTTCCCTTGTCGCAATGACACAGAACCCACAATGTGCTGCAGAATATAATCTTAAATCCATTCTGAACCTAGCAAGTCTTTTATTAAAATAGACAAATATAGAGCCCAGGAGGAATTCCTCTAAATTACCTTATTGAAACAATAAATATCTGGGATTTATCTAGAATTAGATACTATGTCCCCTGAAGAATTGTTGGGAAAGTTACGAAACTTGTAGTTTTTATATAATCATCAAAATCTATAACCTTAACGCCATTATGTGTCAGCTTGGCTCAGCTGGTAGCACTCTCTCCTGCAAAGCAGAAGGCTGTGGGTTCAACCCCACATTGGGCATAGTCTGACACTCCAATAATAATAATAATAATCCTTGCATTTGATAGAGCGCCTTATCACGTCTTTGAGACGTCTTGAAGCGTTTCACAGAATATACTTTAAATTGAATTGACTATATTTTGTGGGCGAAACACGGCAGCCAATTGCGCACAGCAGTGTCCCACAAACAATTGTGGATTGAGTGGCCAAATTATTTTTTTTATTTATTCATTTTTTTGAAGGGATTATTACCCTCGGAAAAGAGATCGCTAATTGACTACCTACCGGGTTCCTATATACTCCTTGGTAAGCAGAGGCGTCTAGAGTAAAGAAACTTGCCTAAGGTTTTGCCCTGCTGGGAATTGAACCCAAGTCCTCTTGCTTGCGAGGCAAGTGTTCTAACCACTAAATTACAGGACTCTACAGTGCTATGCTGGGGGAATGCTAGATCGTAGGAGGAGCCATCCTTGGGATGAGACGTTAACTCGAGGCCTGTCTTATCCCATGACGCTGTTTGAAAGGGGAAGGGAGTTTCTCCCAGTGTCTTGCCCAACAATCCCCCAAATAAAATTGTTCATTCACTTCATGGCTGTTTATGGGACACTCCTGTGTGAAAATTGAGTGATATGTTCATCTACAAAATACACAATCAATACACTTTACAGTAATTCCTGTGCTTTTGAGCGCTCTGAGATGTCTCAATGACATGATAAAGTGCCGTATCAAATATAAGTTATTATTTTAGATTTGATTATTGTCTTTTAGTTCATTAAGCAGCCAGCAGTCTAGCTTGTTTGAAATATAACTTACTGATATATTTGACAGTAACAAGAAGGATATGATATTTCTCAGTATCTTCTGCCTGGTACTCTGAGCATTTCTTTCTCTCTCAGATGTAAATAGCGTTAATTGGTTTGATGCATTGGGCAGCATGTTCTGTGTCTTTACATCTGCCTTCGCAAAATTCCTGGACTGCACAAAGAGGTTTTGCAAGCTCCCTTCCATCCCAGAGCAGGGGACACATCCACTTTCACTATCGAAGGCTTCGTTGACAGACCCTTTGTGCATCAAGTCATTGGGGCACTGTTGGGACACTGAGCAGCTCCAGTCCCCTCTGCCTTCTCCTACATTCGGAGCGGAGTGTAGACCCTCAGCGATGAACAGATCCTGCCCAAGAAGTTGGATAATTTTACAGAGAGAAAAGCAGAGATCTAGCATCTTAAGAACGCCTTCCGATTGCGAGACCACCGAAGCCACCGCTGAGAAAACCGATGCCATCAAGGGCCCGCAAGAACTAGCCAGAAGAATAGTAATGTCCAAACTCCTGACTATATTCTTGGATCTCCCCGAGTAGGAGTTATCGCGGTGAAATTTGTACATCAGCATTCCAGCTCCCGAAGCCACTGACATGAGGGATAGCAGTACTGCGTTGAAGAGGTAGTAGATTTTTAACGCATGGAATTTGTTCTCTGTGGTCCTGACGAGAACACCAAATGAGATCATCACCGCGAAGGTGACAGCAAGAGCAAGCGCTCCAAAGATGGGCCCGACTATGATCCCATGATGTATCTGAAATGTATTCTTCTTGGCCACAGTGGATCTCTGCTGCTCTTTTATACGCCCGGTGTTTTTCCACATGATGTACAGCATAGCCGATGAGAACAGGCTGAACTCAATATTGAAAGGGTAGAGGTAAGCAGTCGTTTCGTGGAATATATGGCAGAGTTCTGTCGTACAGATGCAACTGTCTGCATTAGCGCTGCCTGCAACAGAAATACAGGGAGATGAGGGTTACCTGCTTCTGTGTTAAGAGAAAATGAGTGAGTTGCGAAGTCCGAAATCCAAAGTAGTGCATTGCAACTGATCCACCTTCTGAACAAATAAGGGCCGTGTGGAAATGGGGTGCACAGAACTCTGAGACATACATGCCACTGACTGACAAGACACTAATGGGGAGAAATTCCACTTGGGTCTAGATTTACTTTATTAACGTAGCATTTTGGAGCAGTGCAGTAAATTCTGTGAAGCTCTTTGACATGTCTTGGCGATGTGATGAGGCATCAGTGGCAAGGATTTAATTTTATTATTATAAATGCCTACCCAGTGCCACACTTGCACAGCGGGTGAAACAATCAATTAGCTTAGAAAGGAACCAAATTGAAGAGTACTTTGTTAGAATCACTTACATTAAATTTGACAAGATGGCAGTGGGATCGTTCTAATGCTGGTTTTACAAGACGTGGGGTGTCTGAATCTTAATAGGAATTCTCGTGAACTAGTCAAACCCATTGAACCCACCATTTTCTGGTTGTAATGTGCCAAGCTGGATCACACCAGGGTACAAATCTTCAGCCAGATTTTCTTTCTTGTGAAAATCTTTAATTTCCTTGAGTTGTTTTATCGATTCATCCAAGACAGCATTCATCCATGCCAATATGTTCGTAGCTAAAGTATGCATCAGCCCAAGCCTGCAATTTCATTAAAAGATGAATTCACTTTACAGTATATTCTCTGAAAAGCTTTGAGATGTCTCAACAGCATGTTAAGGCACTATATCAAATGCAAAGATTAGTAGTAGTAGTCGTAAAGATCTTTAAAGTAAATACATTATCTGCAAATGCGAACGTGGAGTGTTCTGTATAATCCATGATTTTATATTATTAAGCAAAGTTGCCTTAAAATCCATTGGCTTCTTCATAAATTGCCTCTAGTTACGATCAGTGAGGTAGGCACATCAACTGTGAGTTCATTATATGTAGGATCATCTTCAGATGAGCCTCCATTCCTACCACAGGGTGCAAAAACTGTTGCTGAGTTTATCCCTTGGGAGGTTTATTTTTCTATAGAATTGCTGCAGGCAATTTACATACCTGTTCAGCCAGGGCTGGTGTTGAATGGAGACTTTTGCGTGAAATGAAAGAAACAATACCTGGAAGGGACAAAAGGAGATGCTGAGAACCATCAAAAGCACTACATACAACATTTACTGATGGCGCCATTACTGATGGCATCACTGAAACTAGTGTCACTGAGGGCTGGAACATGGAATTGTGTTTCAACTACTCTGTCTGTTGAGATCTCAATCTCAGCGTTGTTTCATTTTGTGGGGAGGTCACAATAAGAAATCGCAGACAGATTTTACTCCTTTGCTGTCTCTAGTGGCCAGTTTGAGAATGACAGAAATCTTGGATTTGTAACTCACCCATAAAAATGTGACACAATTGGAGGCCATTCCATTCACTGTACTAATGTTGGTGTTATCTCCTCCAAGGGAGAACACTACCCTAATCCCAAATTGCTGCTCTTCCCCGATCCTCGTTTCCTCTGCATACGCCCTCTATTGATGACTGAACTTCTATTTGTGGGCAAACACAGCAGCCAATTTGAGCCCAGCAATGTCCAATGTCTCACAAACCATCATGTAGTGAATGACTCATTTTTGGGGGAGTATTTGTTGGCCAGGACACTGGGAGAAGCTCCCTTCTCTTTTTCAACAGGCCCATGGAATCTTTAATGTCCACCACAACAAGTAGATTTGATCTTAGTTTTAATGTCTCATCTGAAAGATGGCACCTCTAACAATGCAGCACTGCTCCCCAAAACTGCACTGGAGGGTCAGCCTGACCTATCAGCTCAAAGTCTTGATAATCTATTAGCAGAAAACAATAATCAATAATACTGTACAGCACTGAGACAATTATATGCTTTGTATATTTATATACCTGAACTAGAGTGAATATGGCTTGTACAAATGGGTACATGATGGTGAAGACAGATGCACAATGTAGAATCTCCCAGTAGTGTCCGATATGGAAGCAATCCAGCACTAATGTAGCGAGTGCAAATAGTGCCAATCCACCTGCAAAACATTCCCGTACAAAGGAGTTACAGGCTGGTTTTGTCTAATCCGCAATGAACATATGCCCAGGACGCTCAACTGATACAAATGTCGGTCCTGAACAAGCCTTTAATATCAGATTAAGAGGGAGGAGTGGTCTAAAATTCGGGTTAGGCTAATGGCCCATGGCCCAAACCTATTCAAATCACACAGGTCTTTTGGACTCCAGAGTGGAGTTCCAGAGAGAAAGACCATAATGGCTGAAAGCTCACCCACTGAAGGTGTGGCAGATCGTGTGGGGACAGGCTGGCATTCACTGATCGGCTGGGTCGATGGAGTTGTAGGAGGTCACAGAGGTAGGATGGGGTGAGGCTGTGGAGGGTCGCAAAAAAAAAAGCATCTTGAACATGAGATTGAGGATCTTTTATTTGATCCGCTGGGGGATGGGAGCTGAGCGAGGGTGGGGAGTGACAAGAAAAGCCATTGGGAAGAATTTTCCAGATAAATAATAAGATTAGTAAGAACCTCCTCTTAGAATTCAGTAAACGTTAACAAATGTCTTGACAAAATGTAAATGAGTGGAGTAATGAGTTTCCTCAAATGTTAAATACGTGGAGCATGGCTGTTTTCATATAACTCGGACTAAGTGTTAAGTTATTGAGAAAAAGGAAATGAAAACAAACATGGCACATCTGTGGTGTGAGATCATGGGATCACTTGCTCAACAAACGATATGAAAAGTTTATAAAGATTTCTTGTGGATTATCATTCCACACCAAATAATGCACTTCATAAAAGGAAAGAAGGAAATCTTAATGATGGATGTAAAACTAGATGCTGAAAATCTGCAGCAATTTAATCCGCAGTAAAGGTAGGCTGACAGTAATCCCTTAATCAGAAATGATTTACCTTGAAACGTGTGCTGAAATACCAATAAAAACCCTGTCTCCTTGACATCTATTTTGGCAAAATATATGAAAGTGACGGCCCAAGGTATTGTTTGCAAGGATTCATGCCTGGGATTTGAATTACAAATACCACATGTGATTTCTGAATTTCCTGTTGAAATTGTGGAAATAATTCATAGCAATAAGCGCATAGTACGGTAGAATTATAGAATCTTACAGCACAGAAGGAGGCCATTTAGCCCATCATGCCTGGGCTGGCTCTTTGAAAGAGTTACCAACTATTTCCACTCCCCCGCTCTTTCCCCATAGCCCTACAAATGTGTACTTTTCAAGTACCCATCCAATTCTCTTCTGAAAGCTACCATCAAATCTGCTTCCACCACCCTTTCAGGCAGTGCATTACAAATCGTAACAACTCTCTGGGTAAAAAAAAGTCTCCTCATCTCCCCTCTGGTTCTTTTGCTAATTATCTTAAATCTGTGTCATCTGGTGACCAACCCTCCCGCCCGCAGAAGGAAGCGGTTTCTCCCTGGGTTACCTTTCAGCCAAACTGCTCCAGCGTGTTGGTCTTTGTACATTCCAGGCTTGCCTCGTCTGTGCATTTGGTACGCAAACCACAGCATCCAGGTGGACGAAACCAGCATCAGGACTGTGAGAAGCCCATGGACGTGGCTGTGGGGGTTGTGATGCACCAGTTCTGCCAATATGATCGCGCTTCCCAGAGACAGGAGGAGAATGAGATAGAAGAGGGAGAGAAAGGAAGGCATCCTGGAACAGGGTGACTCCTGCAAGACAGTCTGATCCATTTCACTCAAGCCCGCTGGTAATTTGGAAATGGACGAGCAGCAGAGACAATCTCCTGGATTTCTTTCCCCTCTCCCCCACTTGAGTCAGGTTCTGCCACTGAGACTCTACCCTGCGTGGAGGGCGCTATATAAGTGCAAGTTGTTGTTGTTGAGACAGCTGTGGGGATGCCCTGATTAAGCTGTAAAACAAAAATAAGAAATCAGTAATCTCAGTAATTGGCAAGCACTCACACTCATTCACTCACTTCCTACATTCCCTTTCAAAATACATAATTACTACACTTTACTGTAAATCCTGTGAAGTGCTTTGAGATGTCTGGATGATGTGATAAGGTGTTATGTCAAATCCAAGGATTATTATTATTATCATCATCAAAGAAGCTAGCATCCTGAGGTTAAAAAAAAGAGTAAACATTTTAGCTCAAAAATGTGGTTTAAATCTAGTCCTAGAAAAACAGTGTGTATTTCAGTGTGGCTTTTCCATGTCTCATACCAGCCATTATATAGTAATTAGTGACAAATTATTAGACTGGTTTGTGCTGTGGAGTTAAGAACTGGATTAAGACCACCTAAACTTTTTTCACTTAGGAAATATTAAGTGAATGCATTCATGAAATCAGACACAGGGTTTAGAGTTTCGGAAGGGAGTGTATTACCTCTATATTAACTCTATGGCTTAGCTCAAGCACTCTGGGACAACACCCTGCGTGATGCGCACTATATACATGCAAGTTGTTGTGGTTGTTGTTAACTCACTGTGCCACAGTCTGATAACAAACAACTTGATTTTTTTAAACTGATATAATAATGACAGACCCATTGCAAAATCATTGAATATTTTCCCACCCTCTGAACAGCAAATCCAAATCATAATAACTGCTCCACAAACACAATGGGGTGTATCGTGCATTGATCACTAAAATGACGGAAATCCCATTATAAAGATTAAGGGAAGGGTTGCTATTTTTAGAAATTGGCATATGATACAAGGAGGGATTTTCTGGAGGTGATTTGTAGATGAAGGGAAAGTCTGCTTAAGTAGCTTTCCCTGTGTAGGAGGGCTTGCAAGGAACAACAGATGATCGAAAGCATCCACTTTAACAAAGAAAGAGATAATTGAAGTCTCGAGCAAAGTGGTTTCCCTTTTTACTCGCCAAGATGTAGAGTTTTATTTTAACTGATATAATAATAATCCTCGCATTTGATATTGCACCTTATCACGTCGTTGAGACGTCTCAAAACACGTCACAGAATATATTGTAAAGTGGATTGACTGTATTTGTGGGTGAAACGGAAAAACTTTCTGTTTGTTCTTATAATAATCCTGGCATTTGATGTAGCAGCTCACCACGTCACTGAGGGTTTCAAAGCGCTTCAAAGGATTTACTGTACGTGCCGTGACTATGTATTTTGTAGGCAATTGCAGCAGCCAATTTGTGCACAGCGATGTCCACCAAATAGCCTTTGCGTGAATGACCAATTTTATCTGGGGGATGATTGGCCAGGGAGTTCAGAGTTAATACTCTGTGGTAGCTTTAGATTGATGACATGACACATTTCAATGTATCACAAGAGAGCTACATTTATTATAGGAGCAAATATATTTTTCATTTGTTCCTTAACTTACCTGTCAACTTGCAACAAAAGAGACGTGAAATGCAGAAATTAATCTGCGCTGGTATTCTGCCGGAAAGATCATAGTTGTGGATTTAATAAAAGGAACCAAAAATAAATCGAATAGTAAGACAAAGGTACAATAACTGTAAACTTTGTAAGTGCAGACTTATAGCAAACATTTACATTTCTCTCACAAAATACACAGTCAATCCACTTTACAATATATTCTGTGAAGTGCTTTGACACATCTTAATGACGAGAAAAGGTGCTGTATCAAATGCAAGGATTATTATTATTATTAAATGCGATTTCTGTTCCTCCAGAGGCAGAACACGCATTCCATTCCCGACACAGGGAAATTTTCACACATAGATATTTTTGGATCTGGTTTGGATACTCTTAAGCATGGTGATGGGCTTCTACATGTGTCAGGCACTCCTATATATGCAGAGAGCAGATACAAGCTATAGAATATTTTACAGAAAAAACGACTAACACATATGTTATGTGTACTAAAATAATCCACAGGATATACCTACCATTTATAATAATAATCCTTGCATTTGTTGTAGCGCATTATCACGTCTCAAGGTGCTTCACAGAATATACTGCAAAGTGAATTGACTGTATATTTGTGGGTGAAACACGGCAGCCAATTGTGTACAGCAGTGTCCCATAAATAGTTGTGGATTGAGTGACCAAATTCTTTTTTACATTTTTTTTAAGGGATTATTGCCCCTAGATAAGCGATCCGCCAATTGACTAACAACCGGTTCCTACTTACTGCTAACTAAAGAGAGACGTGTGGAGTAAGTATTTTGTGACTTATATAGATACTTAAACTTTGGGACGCTCTCCCCAGATGGAAGTTGCTCTATATAAATGTATATTGTATTGCATGCTAATCCTAATGCTTACACTTCTTTGTTCAAACACCAAGAAAGGTAATTAATTTACATTACAACATACCTCAATTATATTGTAAGTATTTTTTTTGAAAACAAACAATATTCTAACAGGTTTAAATTGTCACTGACAAAAGATTCGCATTTTGTTTCGGATTTTCTCTTCGCAGATTGAAAAAGTTAAATCTAGAGTAAAAAATAATTTACCTTTAACCTCTTTGGATCTCAGTGGTACATATTCGTCGAAAAGTTTTGTTTTAAATTTTTTTTTAAATCGCACCACAAAATTTAACACTTTATATTATAGATCATATAAAACAACACCAGCCAGGACATTAAACTGTACTCACACTGTCTGGAATGGCAAAGCAGACTTGTACTCGTAAGGTGTTTGCTTAAAAAGTTCTTACACAGAGTTTTAGAGAAAGTTTTTCTGTGAAAATAACTTTCGTGCTGAAAGTTTGTTTTAGTCCAGAGGGAAAGGCTATCCTCCTCCCATTTCGGGTCAGAACAGAGTGATTAGTTCTCACTCACTATCTCTGCCAACGTCACTGAGCAGCCAGCCAATATCAAACAGTTGCATTTCACAACTAAATGTGCTGCTAAATGTGGTTCAGCACCACTTTATGTACACATACAGTACAGTATGTGGAGACAGTATGTAAAGACACTTGTGATCTGGTGTTTAATGCCCTGGCTCTACATACTATATCAAACCCTCACTCTCGATATCAACAACAACTCGCATTTATATAGCACTCTTCACGCCAGATGTATCTCGGAGTGCTTCAGTTAAAATAACGTACTGCAAATTCTTAACAGAATTAACAACAGCAACAAAATTACATTTGTATAGCGCCTTTCACGTGGGAGGATGTCCCAAGGCGCTGGACAATTAGTGTTTTGGACCAAGCTGGGGGTCGGGATCGGGGAGGGTGGAGGGCAGTGGGGGAAGAAGGGGGACCGAGGTAGGGGGGAGCAAGGCCATGGAGGGCTTTGAAGGTGAGGACCAGGATCTTGAACTGTATCCTCTGTGTGATAGGAAGCCAGTGGAGTCGGGTGATAGGGTTGTCGAGCCTGGTGCGGGAGAGGATACGGGCTGCAGAGTTCTGGATGATTTACAGCCTACGGAGGGAGGAGTTGGGGAGGCCGACAAGCAGGGAGTTTGCGTAGTCGAACCTGGATGTTATGAATGCAAATTGAACTATGCAAGTTCAGAGTATTGTAGCCCAGGGTGTGTATGTGTGCATACCAAGTGCAAAACTTCTTCAAACTTCATTATTTTTGTTTTGCCTCATTGTGGAGGAGTCCTGTAGCTCAGTGGTTAGAGCACTCGCCTCGCAAGTGAGAGACCTGGGTTCAATTCCCGGCAGGGCGAAACCTCGGGCAAGTTTCCTTACTCCACACAGAGCCTAATAATAATCCCTCAAGAAAAATACAATAATAAAATTGGTCACTTCAATCCACGACTGTTTGTGGAACACTGCCGTGCGTAATTGGCCGGCGTGTTTCACCCACAAATGTACAGTCAATTCACTTTACGGTCTATCCTGTGAAGCTCTTTGAGACGTCTCGAAGACGCGATAAGGCGCTGTATCAAATGCGAGGATTATTTATTTTTACTATTTTCAATAAAAAAAACGATCCTTGAAGTATCTATGTGGAAGAACCATTCAGTAAGAAAATGCATCGGTGCTGGTGAGATGGGTTTCGAAATGCATTTGAATGCGGACAGAAACTCAAAGCACTGTAGGTTTGTAGCCAAAAGTCGACCAAATAGTAGCCCAAAGGTGGCCCAGTGTTAAGTGTTGCCTCCTATGGGTAAGAAACCCGCCCATCCCGCCCACAAAAACCCGCCCAACCCGCCCACTTGCTGCCCTTGTTCCCGGAGCGGAGAATTAGCAGCCAATCAGGTGGCGGCTCTGCACCGCCCCACCCCCCCCCCTGTGCCGGCCCAACCTAACGTGCTGGGCCATCTCCCCGCACCTTCAGTGTCGCGGTGCGAGTGGCGTCCATCAGGTTAGGTTGCGGGGCAGGTTGATTGACAGGTGGCGGCGGCAGCAGCAGCAGCAGCGGCGGGGGATCAGCGCAGTGCTGTGAGGCTCAGTAACGGGGGAGAAGGTAAGTTACTGTTTAATGACACTGTGCACCAGCGTTGTTCACAACCACTCAAGGCGTCGTGTCCAGTGCAAATGCAACCTTGCATTTTCCCTTTCGTTTTCTTTCTTCTGCAGTCTGGTCATTTAGTCTGTGTGTGTGTGTCTGTGTGTCTTAAGCTTTACATTTTTTTTTAAAAAAAATTATTTTCTCTTTTTTTTAAAACAAATGTCACACACACACACACACACACAAACACACACACACACACATGTAAACCTGCACCATCATTTCCTGTTTCTAGGGTTTAACCATTGCATTTTAGTAACTGGATGCTGTTTCACTCAGTGGGGATTCCTTTAAAAAGATTCCTTATTCTGTGCTGTCAATTTCTCTGGGTCCAATGCAAACCTTGGCTTAGGTTCACTGCCATGTGATTTCCTAGTTTGGAACATGCAATGTCAAGGTCATTAGTTACTTCGGTGTAGTGGTAATCGATGACAATTGGGTGTCATTGCAAATGTACACTGTACATGAATTTAATGGTGTGCGCTAAGTATTTGACGCAGCGGACGCCACTGGATTCACAGCGTGCGTTTGCCATTTAAAAAAAAAACTTTTATGACAGGAGCCGTGAGTCCTGTGTTTCCATACACCTCCAGTAACAATATTATTGCTTGCATGTGACAGAGCGCCTTATCATGTCGTCGAGACGTTTCAAAGCGTTTCGCACGATATACTGTCCAGTGAAGCGGAGTGACTGTGCATTTTGTGGGCGGAACGCGGCGGCCAGTTTTCCTCACAGCAGTGTCCCAAAAACAGCCATGGGATGAGTGACCAATTTCATTTGGGGGATTGTTGGGCGGGACACCAGGAGAGTGAATGTCACTTCTCTTTTCGAATAGTGCCATGGGATCTTCAACGTGACTTAACCTTGGTTTAACGTCTCATCTGAAGGATGGCACTTCGGTCAATGCAGCGCTGCAATGGAGTGTCAGTTTAGACTATGTGATTCCAAGTCCTGACATGGGGCTTGAGCCCACAATCTAATGACTCAGAGGCGAGAGTCCTACCACTGGGGCAGGCTGGCACAGTAAACAGTAATCCTTGTATTTGATACGAGCATGTATGTACCTTGTTGCTTTTATCATGTCAACATCTTCAAGCGCTTCGCTGTTAAATTCTGTAAAGTGACTGAGTATTTGTCGTGGACCGTGGCAGCCCAATTTGCACATAGCAATGTTCCATAAAGAGCCATGAAGTGAACAAATAATTTTGTTGGACGGGACGTTATTCGGGGTTAATATGTAATAAATTTTTTTGAAATAAAAATGTTCCGGATCCTCAGAGTTTTATCTGGTATCGATTCTGGTCTCATTCTGCCTCCAGTGTATAATTACAATCAGATAGGGCTGTGTCTTATCTCACCTCAAGAGATTAGAATTCTAACTGTACTCACCGTGTGATATGCCTGGTGGGCAATGTTTACCTTGCTCTATTAATCTTGAGACTGATTCTGTAATAAAGTTACCAGCTTCATATATGTAGCCAGCAAGCTAAGCAAACAATTTTTAAAGGTATATTTGCATTTGATAAATGTTAATTGCACGCTTACATGTGATGTTAATGTCAGTTATGTTTCTTTCTTCACTGTCTTTCTACTCTCATCCACCCCACACACCTAATAATAATCCTTGCATTTCATATAATAATAATCCTTGCATTTGATTTAGCGCCTTATCACGTCTTCAAGACGTCTCAAAGCGCTTCACAGAATATACTGTTAACTGTATTTTGTGTATTTTGTGGGCGAAACGTGGCAGCCATGGATTGAATGAACAATTTTGTTTTGGGAGGGAGGGATTGTTACCCCAGAAAGCGATCCGCCAATTGTCTTAACAACTGTTTACTGCTAGGTAAACAGAGGCGCATTGAGTAAGGAAACTTCCCTGACATTTCGCCCTGCTCTGGAATCAAACTCGGTACCTCTCGCTTGCGAGCCGAGTGCTCTAACCACTAAGCTACAGGATTCCACTTGCATCTGGTTAGGGTACAACATAAAATTACAAGTCTAGTATTAAGGACGTTTAATGTTTTCATTTTGTTCTCACATCTCCATGGAGACTTGAGGATGGCATATCAGACCTCCCACGGAGACACAAGCTGCTCCTCTCTGTGTATCACGGAGCAAGGTGTTTGACCCAGGGAGAGGTGAGCTCTCCCCAATCACACAGCAGTCCCTTGACTGCTACAGGATTCTCTGACTTCTTGTACGCAAAAAGCAGCAAGCTCGTTATCAACCGGAGTTTGATCTACATATTTCTCTCCCCATCCTGATGATTAAATAATGAATTTAATTTACTATACACTACAATTAAACTTGCTAATTTTACATCGCTGGATTCCGTAGAATGCATTAGACTGCACCATTGTATGAAAGACTACGTCTAAATCCATGAGCTCAGGGGTATTTTTCTGTAAACCTGGTTAAAATACACCTTCAGAGACTTAGTGTAAGGTCTGTGGTATTGTATCTGTGTATCGTATAGGCACTAAACTGGAGGGGAAACTTGTGGAATTAGAGGAGGCATCTGAGACCATACATAGAGTTTGACAAGATATGATGCAATTCGAAAATAGAAGGGAGTTTCTCCCTCTGTCCTGGCCAAGAATCCCTTGGTTAAGTCGATCACTTGCTTCATTGGGAAGAGATGTCTTGGATTGGACCTTATAGAAGTATGCAGGATGCTAAGTGAGCTAGAGAAAATAAGACCATAACAATACTTTCAGATCCACCAAGGCAATCTGTCAGATGACAGCTGTTTTGGGCTTTTGTGTTATCTGATGGTGGATTTGTGCTATTTTCAGTTACTGTTACAATAAGGATTGGCAATGAAAATGCCTTTCGGGACAGAAACTTATAATTAAGTAATGGCAGAAGGTATAATTTCTCAGTTGCAAACCTGCTCCCTAAGTCAGGCCTTCTCAATTTCCTCTTTAAAGTGGAAATTGCATCTTATTTCAGTACCTAACCATGGGCTAGCGTTACTCAGCACCTGGGTACGTCAGTATGTCTGTGTTGGGAATCCTAGAGTTAAGATGTTTTTCTGAGAGAGAGAGAGAGCGTGAGAGAGAAGGAAAGTCTCTAAAGATCATTTAGCTAAGAACAGAGTTTGAAATTCTGTAGGATCCAAGAATACAACAACAAAATTACATTTGTAAAGCGCCTTTCATGTCGGAGAACATCCTGATTCCCACGCTCGGGAATCAGGACCCTAGCGTGAGTGGGGGCAGGGTTGGGATGAGGGAGGGCAGAGAAGTAGGAGGGTGGCTGAAATCACTGTCGAAAAGGAGGGTCTTGAGTCGTGCCTTGAAGGAAGCAAGGGAAGGAGCAAGGGAAAGGGATTGTGGTGAGGTGGTGGTGGGCAGATGATGGTGGGGTTTGCTTCAAGGGTTGTTGTGAGAAAGAATTTTCTTGGTTCTTAAATTGGTTAGTCACTGGCTGTTTTTGTGGGACATTGCTGTGTGCAAATTGGCCGCTGCGTTTGCCTACAGTTACAGTCACTACACTTAACAACAGTTGCCCATAGAGTGCGATTTGAGATGTTTGAATGGTACAGGAGTGACATGAAATGCAAGAATTATTATCATTCTTATATTATTGCACTATTAAGTTAAAAACAGTTTCTGCCAATTTGTTGTTCGATTTGTATACATTTTTCTTTAGTAGAAAATGTCTGAAGAATTGAGACCTGACATCAACATCAAGGAGCCACAATGGGACCAAGGCACCTTCATGGGCCGAGCCAAGCACTTCTTCATGGTGACTGACCCTCGAAACATTGTGCTTTCGGCTGAAGCATTGGCTAAAGCAAAGAGAACTGTAGAGAACTATAGGTAAGACTTTGGGCAAGGAGCTATTAGGAGGGCAACATCATCTGAATGTTTGTCTTCGTCAGCTGCAATCTGATGCTGAATCTTTCTTAAGCCAATAGTGATTGAGGTGCCACTGGTAGCTCACTGATTTTATTCAGTGAGTAACTTAGCCGTAAAGACTGGGACAGACTGGGGTTCGATCTGTTGATTTCAGTTGGGGTAGTAGCATTGGCGTTTGAGTGTCAGTGGAACTATTCCCCTGTAGAGGGGAAAATGATCTTGGGGAGGGAAGGAGGTGGAAGACAGACAGCGAGAGAAGAAAATTGGTTTTAAAAAAAAGTTCAATCTGACTAAAACACCTTTCTGATCATTGCAACAGAAATTATTTTACTTTCTCTCCTGTGAGTCAATCTGCACCTCAGCTTAATGACTGAGATAGTCAGCAAGCCATCTGCCCCCACTACTCCCCAGGCATCTCACTGCCCACCCTGGTTGCTAGGAGGCCTATAAAAGCAGTTTGAGATTAACTCATCATCTATTTTGAGACCAGATGATGGAGGAAGCAGAAGAGACTGGTTTAGTATTTGTAGGAATCCCATAAAAATCCCATTCAAGGCCCCGAGAACAGCAAATCCTATCGGGATGCTTAAAAGTTACTAATAATCCTTACACTTGACGTAGTCTTTCGTATTGGGAGAATGCCTCAAAGCTTTGGATAAGACGTTAAACCGAGGTCCCGTCTGCCTGTTTAGGTGGATGCTAAAGATCCAACAGCACTATTTGAAACGAGAAGAGTTTCTCGCTCTCTCTTGCTATCCTGGCCGACAATCCCCTAAATAAAATTGGTCACTCACTACATGGCTGTTTGTGCTACATTGCTGTGCACAACTGGCTGCTGAGTGTCACCCACAAAATGCACAGTCACTCCACTTCACAGTATATATCCTGTGAAGGGCTTTGAGACGTGATAACATGCTATATCAAATGCAAGGCTCATTATTATTAAAGCGCTTCACAGGATTTACTGTTAATTCTAGTGACTGTATTTGTAAACAAACATTGCAGCTAATTTGTGCACAACAATATCCCACAAAGAACCAAGGAGTAAGTGAGTGACCAATTTTATTTGGGGTGGGGGGGGGGGGATGGGTTGTGGTGGTGCTTGTCAGTTAGGACATCAGAGAAAAACTGATCTCTTTTCAAATAGTGCCATGGGATCTTTAAAGTCCATCTGAACAGGCAGATGGGACCCAGTCTCATCTAAAGGATGGCACCCCCAACAATGCAGCGCACCCTAGATTGGAGTGTCAGCTTCAGACTGTATGAGTTTAAAGTCCTCAAGCGGATGCCCGAACTCACAACCACAGACGCTATATGAATCGGTATCTCGAGTGCAGTAATTGTAATTAGGATTAAGTAATAAATTGCTGGTCTCCTGTTTGTGCAGACATGGCCTGGTGTCTCCAGGGCTGACTGAGGACGAACTCTGGCGAGCAAAATACATCTACGATTCCGCCTTTCACCCAGACACGGGAGAGAAGATGATTCTGGTTGGTCGGATGTCTGCACAGGTCCCCATGAACATGACCATAACAGGCTGCATGCTGACGTTTTACAGGTGAGCCTCGGCTGCGTGTTGCGTGTGCATTTTGAAATGGAAGTAGATGAGACTGTGGTTTAATAGTGCGGAGCCATTCTCAGCTGCAGTTCTCTGAAATATTGAGCCTCGGTCCAGCTTTTATGTAATGTTCATTGAATTTTACTGGAGAGCGTTTGGAAGACCAGACAATTATCGCGTGTAGAACTGGCAGATCAACATTGTACTTGCATGTTATTTTGTCCAGGGGATAATTCATAACAGGAACAGGTTGCCAGGAGGGGTGGTGTGACATCAGGATGCTGAGAATCATTTAAAATCCCAGCTTGATGCCTTGATGGGAAGGCAGTAGGAAGGGCGTCAAATGGCCTGAAGGGCCTTCTTCATCAGAACCTCTTTTTTGTTATAATATAAATAAGAAACCTTGCATTTGATATAGCGTCTTCGAGATGTCTTAAAGCACTTCACAGAATATACTGTAAAGTGAATTGATTGTTCTTTGTTCTTTGTTTATTGTTATTTGTGAATTGTAGTTGTTATTTCACTGGGGAAATTTCGATGCTCAGGAATAGGAGGCCATTCAGCTGTTCCACCAGTTTCAAAGCAGGTCTTTTTGCTCCCTTTTTTTTGCCTTTATTCCATTCCTCTTAAGAACCTTACCTCCCTAGTGTCAGTCTCACTCATAAACATCTAGTTGATTTTTACCTGCACAATCTTCTGGGGCAGGACAATTTCTTGGAGTGCTTTACAGAGTACTCTGTAAAGCAGAGTTATAGATGCTGAGCAGGGGAGGTTGAGGGGGTAGGGGTGAGGTGATCATAGGCACGGTTGAAGAGGAAGAGTTTTGTGACAGGGCATAAACAGGTGGGGGGGCTGAGACGGGGGGGTGGGTTAGAGAGAGGATGTACCAGATGTTATGGGCGCAAAGAGGTTGGGGACACACAGCAAACCTGAGTTAGCCGAGGGGAGGGGGAAAGCAGAGAAGTGGGGTGGGAGGAGATCGGAGAGATAGGCATATGCCAGGGCCTGAAGGAATTAAGAGCTGTAACAAAAGTACGTTTGGGGTGTTATGTTACCAGGCTGACACATTGGCTCAGATGACTGTGTATCATGGAAATACATAGAAGGTTACAGCAAGGAAACAAACCATTGGGACTAAATAATCTGCTGGTATTTATACTGCACACCAGCCTCCATCCCTCCTATTCCCCTCTTCCTCATGTATGCATAAGATTTCCTCTGAAATATGCAGATGCTTTTTGCTTCAACCACAACCTCCAGCAGTGAGCTCCACAAGTAGTGAGTCACCTGTGAGAGGTCTCTGAGCCAGTGTTTGTGTTGTATCTTAAGTAAGGAGTTATACCTTGTTGAAACTCAATTATTATTCTTTGTTAATTATACTGGCTGGGTTATGTTATATAATCACCAGATTTCACTTGCCATTTAGCCAGGTATCTGCCTGGCTCGATTGGTAGCACTCTCACCTCTGGGTCAGAAGGTTTTGGATTCGAACCCTGTGTTAGGACTCGGAGACTTTGTACTGCATTGTCAGAGGTGCGGTCCTTCAGATGAGATGTTAAAGATCCCATGAAACTACAGTAAAACTCCATAATTCTGATCTGTATAAATCATATAATCGCCTAAGTCATACTTCTGCCCAAGTCCCATTCAGTAGTTTATATTCTATGCCCGTTTGATATAACTCATACTTTGCAAAGTCATATTAAATGTATAGTCCCAACTGATAACGACTTATGTGAGGTTTACTGCATATGAAAACAGAAGGGTATCTTCTCCAGGTGTCCTGGTTTAGCTAAATAGATTGCTCACTTCATGACTGTTTGTGGGACAAATCTCTGCACAAATTGGCTGCCACGCTTGCTTACAAACCTTCAGTCACTCCACTTTACAGTAATTACCTGCGAGATGTTTTGATGTTATAGGCGCCATATCAAATGCAGAGATTATTATTACTATTATTATAATAGCATGAACGACTCATTGTGGGTCGCTGCTGTGTGCAATTGGTTGCCGTTTCACCCACAAAAGATACAGTCAAGACGTTTCAAAGACGTGATAAGGTGCTATATCAAATGCAAGGATTATTATTATTTTAACTTCTCAAGGAGCTGACAGCTTATTTCAGTTTATGTGAAGGAATTAACTCTTTGCCCTTATCTGTTGAAGGACAACTCCAGCTGTTGTCTTCTGGCAATGGGCCAACCAGTCCTTCAATGCGATCGTGAACTACACCAACAGGAGTGGAGACGCATCATCGACTGTGGGGTAAGACTACTCGTATCAGCTCTCTCCAGTGATGAGATGCCGTCATTTGTCAACACGAAGCTGGGTTGAAATGACGGGGGGTATGTGATGTGATAATTGACACTCCACGCCTGGAGATGTCTCACTGAGAGCTGCTGCGGAGGAACACCTGAACTGCCACCAAAATATTTTTAGAATTTGGTCACTCAATCCACGACTGTTTGTGGGTCACTGCTGTGTGCAACTGGCTGCAGCGTGTTTCGCCCACAAAATACACACTTTACTACGAAAACTTGTATTGGTATAGTTCCCCTCACGCAGGGCAGAGTCCCAGAGCACAGATTATATTCTGTGAAGCACCTTGAGATGTCTTAATGACTTGGTAAGGTGCTATTATCTAATGCAAGGATTATTATTATTATAATTATTATCCCATCGTCTCGGGTCCCGATCCCGGCATCTCGGCGCTAGCTCAGGGAATGCCGGGGATACTCGGCTTTTAAATGTCATTCACCGGAACGCATCCAGGAGCGCCATGTCCCATAATACGTCCCCGGTGATAATTATCTCATCGCTCGCTGCACCTTTTCACTGGTTTCCTGATGCGTGATGTAGGAACAGCAGATTAGTGGGCGAGTGAATGGTATGGTTTATTCAGGAATTCATGCCGGTTCCGATCAGCTGATTTAACAATAGCTGATTGACGATTGATGGCCAGATGCCGGCCTGGTTGCTTTGCTGGGTCAATATTTGTGGAAGCCATGAACAAGGAAAGTCATCCTCAGATTGCTTCGGTGACCTCTTAGCGCATGAATAACCCATTTTATCAAGGTTGAAGTCATGCAGGATATTGCACTTGTGATAGTGCTTCACCAGGGTTCATTTATTGACCCATAATTTAGACAGGGCCCGATTCTGTGCTATTCCTCCATTAATTAATGTTTGCCTCAGGGTGAGATTGATACTTTAACAATAGCGTTGAGTTAGGGACAGTTTTGCGCAATGGTTCTCGTTGCTCAGCTGGACTGAGTCTGGCTGAACTTCACTTGACTTTCAGTGCCTTAGGACGTTCTCCCGATGCGAAAGATGCTATATATATTTGCAATTTGTTGTTGTTGTTGTTCACATTCGCACCTTTCGAGTCAGCAAAGAAAGGAGACAAGCATGGCAGCTGCTGAAGCTCCTGAGTCACATTAACGTTTTCTGTGACCAAATGTGAGACCCAGTCCGCCAAGCCAAGGTGCAGTTTTGTTTTACGGCCATTTGCTGAGAAGATGGCAAGTGTTCTGTTTTCAACTTCTTAATTTGCCTTGTTCTCCTGTTCTCCCCCTGCAGCCAGGTGGGCACTGCTTATGTCAGTGCAACGACGTGTGCTGTGCTCACAGCTCTTGGCCTGAAGTCGCTCACAAAGGTGATCTCTTTTAATCTTCGCTTTTAATCTCCGCTTAGCAAATCACAGCCCACGCGTTTATGGCATTTTAAAAATAATAAGGCCGAGAAGTAAGTTTTTCACTTTGATGTCAGCCTGGCTCAGTCGGTAGCGCTCTCGCCTTCCGAGTTAGAAGGTTGTTGGTCTAAGCCCCTGTGTTGGGGACTTCACATAGTCTAGGCTGACACTTAGACTAGGGGTGAGTCCTACATTGTCAGAGGCCTTATCCTTCGGATGAGATGTTAACCCGAGGTACCGTTGATGCCTGTTCAGGTGGATGTTTTCGAAGATTTCACGATTCAGGGAATTTTTCCTGGTGCCCTGACCAATGATCCCCTGATCAAATTATTCACTCACTTCATGGCTGTTTGTGGGACATTACGCGCGCAAAATGGCTGTTACTTTCATGTATAAAATACACAGTCATTGCAATTTATAGTGAAGCCCTTGAGTCATCCTCTTGTACCAGATGTAAGGATTAGTATCTATTACTTATTTAGGCCAGGCAGTGATAATTGTATTCTGTTGCTGCTAAGAGCTCTTTCGAGTAAAACCTGAGTGGCTGAAATCTGGTGAACCTGGCCTTTTCCCCTTCACATTATTGCACATTATTATTATTATTATTATTATTATTATTATTATTATTATTATTATACATTATTGCAGGCTCTGGGCCCTCAAGAGGTTGACTGTAAGCTCTGAGATGCTTCATATGGACTTCCAAGTAACTGGCAAAACATGACACTGAGCCACAGGAACTCAGCTCTGAAACGGATTCATTCCGGCCTGGGTTGCTATTGTGGGTCCGAGTAACACCTTATGTAGTGATTCACTGACACCCGTGGTGGCATTCAGTGCTTTGGGATGTCCTCCCGAGGTGGAAGGCGCTATACACATGTAATTTGTTGTTGTGGGTACCAGGTAAAAACTTAATGAGCCTGTGTTGTGAAGGTCAGAGTTTTAGGAAGGAGTTCCCTCTGTTTGCTGTGAATCCTCATTAATGAATTTCAAAGAGATTCATGATCTCCTGATCCAGATCAAACCTCCTGCCGCTGGACCTGAGATTTCTTTCTGCCCAGCCAGCATTGTACACATCTAAGGTTTTAGGTGTAGTGCCTAGATTCAGCACAACGGTCGTTTATCACAAAGTACAAGGTTGGCTTTCCTAGGTAAGAGCTAAGGAGAATGCAAGCTTCAGTTGCCTGTGTTGTGAAGGTCAGATTCAGGAATGAGCACTCAATGTACTTGATGCTGACTTCATTCCTTGCCTCAGGATTCCTGCCAATGGTGGAGGGGAGAGTGGGGGGGCTGGGAATATCAAAACACAGCATTTCCAACTCTCCACAGTGTGTAACTGACCAATATTTATTCAGTGCAGCACTTTTAATTTTGCTTTGAGAATTGCCAGGCTTTATTTGATTGAAGAATTAACAATGCATTTCTTTCTCCTCCCCTGAAGCACCTGCCTGCCCTGATCAGTCGCTTTGTGCCCTTCACTGCGGTGGCAGCCGCCAACTGCATCAATATCCCCCTGATGAGGCAAAGGTAAGAGCGGGCAGAACCACAAGGTGACTTGCGGGCTCTGCATCTGACACGAGAACTAGAGACAATGCAAGCGATATGGAAACGACGATTCCCTCCTGGAGAAGGGTCTAATCCAGAGGGGCCTGGCTCGCTCGGAAACCTCCGGGTCAGCACATTGTGGGTTCGAGCCTCGTGTTGGGGTAGTACAATACAAGGGATAGCGCTGTATTGTCAGAGGTGTCGTCAGTGGGATTAGATTTGGAAACCAATGTCCCATCTCCTTGGTCAGGTGGACATCAAAGATCCCGTGTCACTATTCAAAAAGAGGAGTTTCTGTCCCGGTTTCGCGGCCAACAATCCCTACATTAAATTGATCGTTCACTTTGTGGCTGTTTGTTTGTGTGACGTTGCTGTGTGTAAAGTGAAGCTTTCAGAGCTGTTGCCGATTGTTATTAGAGCTGAATTCCAAGGGCATTCCATGCTGATAGTATTTTGAGGTCAACTGAGAGGTTCTCACCATGACCCAAAACCTTGTGTTTAGCATTCACTTGCACTACGAAACTTGCTACGTACGGTGATTTCCAGCATTGAGGGGGGAAGGGGGGCGGTGTGGGAGAATCAAAACACAGCAGTTTCAACCCTTCATATAGTGTAACTGACATAAATGTTTGATTTGTCAATGTAAAGCACTTTCAGGCGTCCTCCTGACATGAAAAGGGCTGTGTCAATGTAAATTGATTCTCTTAACCCTCTGTTACAAAACAGTGCAATGAGTCTACGGAGGAGCTGAAACAAGCTGTCAGAAATGCATTTTGACTTGTCACTTCATACATGTTCATAGAATCGTAGGATATTACAGCACAGAAGGGTGCCATTCGGCCCATTGTGCCGGTTACAGAAGATGTGGCACTGAACATGGCGACGGATAATTATCTGCCATGAAACTTATGGCGCTCACTCACAATGATCCTCTGGACGTCTAAATACAGTTAAACACTTGTACTGAATACAATTAAGTACTTCTAAATACAATCATCATTCTTCCACATATTTTAGGAAAAAAAACGTGGGGGTAATTGGACTTTGTGGACAACCTGTATTATTACCTTCTGAGAGTTTACACTGCACCTGTTGGTTGAGCATATCTGTGCAAACTTTGCAGCTGCATCCAAGCCCCAAGTCGAAATATAAGGAGCCTCAAAGTGGAGTCCTGTAGGTTAGTGGTTAGAACACTCGCCTCGCAAGCGAGAGGACCCGGGTTTGATTCCCGGGCAGGGCAAAACCTTAGGCAAGTTTCCTTACCCCACACACCTATGTTTACCTACCAGTAAGTAGAAATCCAGTTGTTAGTAGTTTACCGGATCACTTTCCAGGGGTAATAATTCCTCAAAAAAACTTGGTCACTCAATCCACAACTGTTTGTGGAACACTGCTGTGCACAATTGGCTGCCACGTTTCTCCCACAAAATATAGTCAATTCACTTTACAGTATATTCTGTGAAGCACTTTGAGACGTCTCAATGACGTGATAAGGCATATATCCAATGCAAGGATTATTATTATTATAAAGTAAGGAGAGTCTGACACCTTCTTGTCTTGCAGGGAGCTGCAGTTTGGGATTCCGGTAACTGACGAGAACGGGAATCGTCTGGGAGTTTCGACCAAGGCAGCGCAGCAGGCCATCGTTCAGGTGGTGGTGTCTCGGATTGGCATGGCCATGCCTGCCATGGGTAAGTCAGGATATGCCAACCAAGCTCCCAAACCTTTCACTGTTGCTGTGGTTTGAAACCTTAAAATCAGAACCAAGACAAAGTAGAATTGTGATCAGAAAGGTGTTCTTCACATGGAGGGTTGTGAAGATGTGGTACCTGTAGAGGTGGAATCAGCAGGGATGTTTAAAGGGAGATGTGCAGAGACTTGGGTGGTGGAAATATAAAGGGGTATGTTGGAGCAATGGGATTAAAAGATCTGCCAAGATCTAACAGACTGACTCGATGGGCTGAATGGCCTCCTTCTGTTCCTGTGCTCTGCAAATCTCAGAGCCAGTGGATTGGGTCTGGAGTGGGTTATTTAACTGCAAAGTGTGAGCTGTCTATCACCTTTGCCATTTTGAGGGAGATAATTCAGACAGTGTCTGTGTTCACAAAGTGCCGGTTTAAGTCAGATCAGAAAATTAAAGTGGGGATGGGGCGGGCGAGTGGGGGGAAGGGAAGAAAGGTTGGATAGGTTGGGAAATTCCTAGGCTGATTGCAAGCGAGTGCTGTTCTTTTAAACATTAAAATAATGCAATGTGCCGTAATGGTTTCAAAATGTCAAGGGGGTTTTAAGAGTGGATGAATGGCAGGGCCAACCTTTGTGCTCGGATCTCCTAAAGCCACCGTCACGTGACCCCGGCTGATCCGATTGACCCCGGAGCTTCCCGAAAGCCCCAGAAACCTAATTGCTGGGATTCCTGTGCGGTCAGGCCGGGCTGCGTGCGGAGACAGAGCTACGTTTGCTAGACTGAACCGCGGAAATCCTCTAAGTACGACATAATCTGAATTAACCTTAAAAAATCATTGTTCAAGTTTAAGAGAGCTTGATTGCAAACTTATCCCTACAGTCTGCCCTCGCCTCCCCCCACCCCCCACCCCCACCAAATCCCCCCCCCCTCCCCCGTCCTCCATTATTTGAGCTTTATATTAACTCAGAAACTCACTTGAAACTTCAGGCTGCTGAGACTCTTATCCATGCTTTTATCACATCCAGGCTCAACTACAGCAACTTCCCTGCTCACTGGACTTCCAACTCTTGCTTCCACAAGCTGCAGACCATTCAGAACTCTGCAGCTCGTGTCCTCTCCCGCACTAGGCTCTGTACGCCTATCGTCCCCATGCTCACCCGGCTTCACTCGGCCCTCATCCCCCAGAGAATCAAGTTCAAGATCCTCATCCTCACTTTTAAACCCCTCCACAGTCTTTCCCTACCCTTCCTCTGTGACCTGCTAAAACCCTACCAACCCACCTACTCCCATGGTAATTCTATACCTAATGCAAGAATTATTATCATCATATTATCAAGTGTTCTGGGACGCTACCCTGTCAAGGGGCACTATATAATCTATGGTAATAACGTATCTAATCTTACACCATCAACATTAAAGAGATTTCACCCCCTCCTGAACAAAATTATCAATGGAAACCTCCCTTTGTGACTCTCAAAAAACAATCAGAGGTTTGGAATGTATGTGAAATCCTGTTATTGCGTTGAAGCTGTTTATGGTTCTTGTTAAAATCATCTTAATCCACTATCCTGCTGTTACATGCTGTTTAAGTCAATCATGCAATACATCATGTTGGGCAAGGTCGGAGGGTGGGGGAGGGAATTGGTGTTGTGAGATTGCTTCAGACCTTGCTTACTAAGTGGAATAGCTAATCCTTGTATGCTTCTCTTTTATTATGGGCTTGTCGCCTCCACTAGTGAAAACAACATCAAATTACATGTATATAGTGCCTTTTATATCAGAAGAAACATCCCAAGAGGCTGAATTTCCCCTTCCGGCAAACATTTTTATGAAGCCACTGTGCTACCAATAACAAACTTTGCATTTGACATAGCGTCTTATCATGTTGTTGAAACATCTCAAAGCGCTTCATGGGATGTACTGTAAAGTGGAACTGTCGACCATTAATTATTTCTGCCTCCAGGAATCCCTCGCCTGTGACTAATCCTCTTATTCCCCTCTGCAGCAATACCTCCAGTTATCATGAATGCTTTGGAAAAGAGAGCCTTTTTGAAGGTAAGCCTATCCATCCATCTTTGCTACCTCTGTTCCAGGGAGATCTTGTGTCAGAGCTGAGGTCTCGAGGGTCAGCATGATGAGGTTCCCTACACACAAAATACACAATCACTGCACTTTACAGTATATTCTGTGAAGCGCTTTAAGACATCTCGAAGACGTGATAAGACGCTATATCAAATGCAAGGATTATTATTATTGTTTTCTGCTTGCAGCGATTCCCCTGGATGAACGCTCCTCTCCAGGTCGGGCTTGTGGGATTCTGGTGAGTTGAACTTCGTTGAGTAAACTTTTTCTTTAAGTCCTTTGAACTTTTGCCGCTTTTCAGAAGTGAAATCTCTGTATGTGTCTGACTACAGGTTCGGTATAGATTGGTTAACAGCCTTTCTTTTTCTTTTCTTTAGCTTGGTGTTTGCCACTCCATTGTGCTGTGCCCTTTTCCCACAGAAAAGGTAAGTTCCATCAACACCATAAACGCCGGATGAAAATATTCTTCGGAGAGTGGTAAACCTCAGTTAAAGAGTCAATCCCCGAGCAGTCTGCTGGGCCAGAGATGGGCGGGAACCGCTGACAAGTTGAGAGAGGGGCAAGAAGGGGGAAAGTGGGTGCCACTGGTTGGGGCACTTCCGAGGACTGGTTTGGGTCCTCAGGGATCAGGACTTTGCCCTCTCAGCTCCCCATAAAGAGGTCTCTGTTGATAGATTTGGGCGGCTGGGGCTGAGCCCTCTGAGCCCTAGCCATGCTCCTCATATGGCCCCACGCCACCGTCCCAGCTTCCCAAGTGTTTCTTTACTATATGTTCTGTACTGTGTGTTAACCAGTTGGGTGTCTGACACATTCAGTAACCCATTACCAAGCTTTAGGGCATCCAAACCAAATTACTAAGAGTTCCACAGGTTGTTTGAAATTTCCCCTGTGTCTGGAATGGAATGCTCACTCTCCTCAATTGCTCAACAAACCCCAGAAAGTATTAGGTTGCATTGCGAGCACTGTCCAACCAGCTTCCCAATGCTTGTCCAGCTAGGACCACCCTATCTGGATGACAAAGGTGCAATACTGAGCCAAGATGAGGGGGGAAGGAGCTTGGATTCTGGGAGTGAGGCAGAAGGGGACAGACTTGAAGAGAAATTTATGGGCCCGTGGAGACCAGGAATATTTCCTGTGATCAAACCTGTCTTGTGTTTTTGCTTCTCAGCTCTATGATGGTGTCCAGCCTCGAACCAGAACTTCAGGCTAAGCTTCGGGCGAGCAGTCCTGGTGTTGAGGTGGTGTATTTCAACAAGGGCCTGTAGCCAAGGTTTTTGTTTCAAAAGACTTGATCCCAACAGCCATTGATTCAACTCAACATTTAGAATGTAGCTTTTCTATCATATCCGCCACGTACCTTTTGTAACTTGGTCCACACTCCTTTTGGTTATCTTTACTGGGGATTCCATGATGTGTTAACCTGGTTCAGTCGGTAGCACTCTCGCCACCGAATCAGAGCTTATGGGTTCGAGCCCATGTTGAGACTTTGAGCTCATACAGACTGGGCTAACACTGCAAGGCAGTGCTAGGGGGAGCGCAGCGTTGTCGGAGGTGCCCTCCTTCATATGAGATGCTAAACCGGAGTCCTATCTATCCTGTCCAGAAACAGTAAAGATCCCATGGTGCTATTCGAAAAGTGAAGGGAGTTTCTCTCTCCCGCGGCCTCCTGCTCTTCCCTCACACCCTCCGCTCCACCATCGGAGGTTGCGCTTTCAGCCACTACGCCCGAAAATCTGGAACACTCTCCCTCAATCACTCCGCCTTGCCCCCTCTCTCCCCTTTTTTAAGTCCCGCCTGAAAACCTTCCACTACGACCGTGTAACGGCCACCTACCCCCCACATGGCTCGGAGTCAGGCTCCGCCACTGTCAAGCGCTCTGAGACACTACCCTGTGTGGAGGGCGCTATATAAATGCAAGTTGTTGCATTCCAAAGCGTCGCTGTGTCAAATGGCACTGAGTGTGATTTAGTACTGTAATCCCCCGCTCCCCCAAACGCTCCCCCACTCTCTCCCTCAACCCCCATCCCACACCTCCTTTGGAAGTTCAGCCCTCAGACGCGTGTGCCTAATTTGGCACCTAGGCTGAATTTGCACTAACTGAGGCACAGTTGCCTGGCTCTGTGCCCAAAATCAAACCTCCTCAATCGTACTTTTGCTGATCGTTCTGTATCTTGCTTATCGTGAATTGCTGAATTGCCAATGTCAACACCTGGACATACAAAATTGGGAGTGGAAGTTCCATGCAGCTTTCCGTGTCGTCGTTCTCCTCAAGGTGGTCTGCAAGCTTTGGAGTGTGCGATATTGGGGTTCACTGTTTTTCTTTGTTAAGAGATGACTCAATGAGGCTAATCCAGAATTCAGTATTGTACTTAAAATCGTAAAGCAAGCAACTGCTGACCTCCTCCTACACCTCTATCGAATTGTGCGTTAGTCTCCTTACCCTCCCGACATAGGAGATCAGAGGACATGCCTTCACGTAAAGGATTGAAAGAACGTGGAACCAACTGCGACACTGCAGGTATTAATGATGGGGATGTTTAAAAAGGAGATATATTTGGGAATAAGAATTTTAAGTGGATGTGGGAAAAAACTGCAAGGAAATGGGATTATAAAATCTGCAGTGATCTAATAAACAAGCTCAGTGTGCTAAATGGTCTTCTCCTGTTCCTATATAGAAAACGCATAACAATGCTGCACTATAATAACTAGGTTATATAATAGTATTCTATGTAGTTATTGCTCCACCTCAGTATCCCTCAAACTGCACTCAAGTCATTGCTGAAATCCCATTAGAGCACATTCCAGTTTGGGAGCTCATGGAGAACGTGCTCTGTGCTTGTGGACGGCAATCCAGATGTAACTACTTTTTCTACAGGATTTCTAGTTTTTAAAAAAAACTGAGTCTCTTTTACTTTGAATATGAAGTGGTCAATAAGGGGTCACTTTGCCTCGCTGTGTGTTTTATTTAATGTACGTTATTGAACTCTACACTTCTCTAGTACCTTTGTCATTGTTGGTAAAATATTGCAATCTTGAAGTATCTCTGTATGTACACTTTTTAGGGATAGTGTAAACTTTAGGGATTAAAGTCAACTACTATTATCCTAGTTCGTACACGTCCCTGTATATCTCTGAAGCTCTTTCGGATATACCAAATATAAGGATTATTATTATTATTCGTAGTAGTATGAACTTGCAAAATGTTTCTGTATCAAAGTTGTTTCAACTTTGTTTGAGTTGTTTGAGATGTTTCAACGATGTGATAAGGTGCTATATATCAAATGCAAGGATTATTATTGTTATTAAAGGGAACCTGTGCATTGTGGCTGTCCAAGGGATTGATGTGTGTTCGCAGTGTTGTAGAGCTGGACAATGTTGAGAATATTTAACAAATGCAGTTTTGCACAGAGCTGCAAAGGACAGGAAATATTAATGGTGGGATTACTGAGAACGTTGTTTGACATTAGTGAAACATTACCTAAATAAACACCATGGTTTTTAAACACCAACTTTCTTTTGAACTGCTCTGTTCGGCACCATTATCTAAACTTGAGAGTAACGCCTCACACAACCGGGCTTCGTGGCTTTGAGCCAACTGTGGTCCATATGTCTTCACACAGAGGGGTGATGAGCAAGCGGAGCTCACTGCCGGAAAGTGTGGTTGAAGCAATAAATCATCAGTCTACAAAGAAGCCTGATGTGCAAATGAGGAACAAAGGAATAGGGGAGCTATGGAGGGTTTGATGAGTATAAACACTGGCACGGACTTGTTGGGCTGAACGACCTGTGTCAGTGGAGTATCATTCTGTATATCTCTATATCTGACTTCAAAACTTGGTAACAATCACCTACATTTCAGTTCGATTGTCCTCCACATGGATTCTTCCATGGTGTGATGGTCTGGGCATGCTTCCTATACTTTGCTTGAACGCTACTGAAATCTCTTCCTGCCCTGTCATCTACCCATTCCAGCATCAAGCTGTATCTTAAACGAGTCCAGTTTCCTGACCTCTCCCACTCTTCCTGGTAACCTTGATCCGGTTAATGTTTGATGTCTAATTAGTCCAAATTTTTCAGAAAATTGTGGGTTCAAGAATTCGGAGTGCTGGATTGTTGGAGGTCCTATCCTGCAGTCGAAACATTAATCGTAAGGTCCCTTCTGCCTGTTGAGGTGGGCGTTAAGATCCTGTGACAGCAGTAGAAAAGAGAAGCAAGTTTCTCATAATGGACATCCTGGACAATGACCTCCAGATTAATAGGTGACTCACCCCATGGCTGTTTGTGGGTACTTGCTACCAAGTTTGACGACAAAATGTCAGTAAACATAAAGCCATTTAAGATGATAAGTGTGTGTGTTCCTTCTGTCACTGTATAGCATAGTGAAGCCATATTAAACAAAGTCTAGTCTGCCTGTTTAGGTGAACGCTAAAGATTCTGTGGCGCCATTTATGGGGACATTATGCACAAATTGACTGTCAGAATTCATCCATAAAATTTATGCAATTGGCTGCTGCATTTTGCCCACAAATATGCAGTCAATTCACTTTATAGTATATTCTGTGAAGCGCTTTGAGACGACTAGAAGATATGAAAAGAGCTGTATCAAATGCTAAGATTATTATTACTATTATAAATATACAGTCAATCCATTTTACAGTTTATCTTGTGAAAGGATTTGAAACATCCTCCTGATGTGAAAGGTGTATCAAATGCGAGAATTATTATAATTATTATTACATTTCAGAACCAGAGGCGAGATACAAGTGGTATGATAAAAGCAAGAATTAACAATATACTTTATTATCGAGAAAGGGTTTGTAAGTTACTCCAAAATGCAATACAATAATAATCTATAAGCCCCTGAAAGGTTTAATGCAAGGATGAGAATTGGGTTAGAATAGAATAAATGTCAACATGTTCACGGTTTGTTTCTAAAGTGTTTCTACAACCTGCACACTCTTATCTTGGTTAACGAGTGACCTCCAACAATTTCTAGCAACTATAGGCCAGCTGGATCTTAGTAAGGATTGACAGCTGACATTGTATGAACAAAGCACCTAGCTCACACCAAATTCACTTTAATCTTATCACTCTCTGGCATTGTGTGGTGAGAGATTCCACTGGGGCTAGATTTACTCCGTTTATATAACATTTTGGTGGATTGGCAACAACAACAAAATTACATTTGTATAGCACCTTTCACGTCGGGAGGACGTCCCGAGGTGCTGGACAATCAGTGTTTCGGACCCGAGCTGGGGGTCGGGAGGCTGGAGGGCAGGGGAGGGAAGGAGGGTGACAGAAGGCACGGTCGAAGAGGAGGGACTTGAGACGGGTCTTGCAGGAGGCAAGGGATGGAGTTGGCTTTCAGGGGATAATAATGCCTCAAAAAAAAAATTTGGTCACTCAATCAACGACTGTTTGTGGGACATTGCTGTGTGCCATTGGCTGCTGTGTTCCGCCCACAAAATACACTCAATCCATTTTTTAATATAGTCTGTGAAGCGCTTTGAGACGTTTCATCGAAGGTAAGGATTATTAGAGCGTCCAGAAATTTGCAAATTCTCAAATGTTGTGTTAATTCTGAAGCGTTTTTCTGTCAGTTTCTTTCACCCACAAAACACACAGTCACTCCACTTTACACTTTACACTGTGAAGTGCTTTGGGAGGTCCTCCCGATGTGAAAGGTGCAATACCAAATGCAAGGATTATTAAAATTATTATTTTTAAGAACCAGCAGAAAACCAACCTCAAAGACAAGACTTGGAGTCCAGTAATGTGGTTAGCGTTCTTTCCTCGCAAGCGCAAGGACCCAGGTTTAATTTCCACATGCCTATGTTTACCTGAAAATATTAACCCGGTTGTTAGTTGATCGGCGGATCACTTTCTGGGGGTAATAATCCCTTCCAAAAAATGTCGGACACTGCTGTGCACAATTGGTTGCGTTTCGTGCCAAAAGTACACAGTCAATCCATTTTATAATATATTCTGTGAAGCGCTTTGAGATATCTTGAAGATGTTATAAGACGCTGTATCAAATGCAACGATTATTATTTTTATAACACTGAATTTGACGATTTGCAACTCTGGACTCCCCAGAACATTATGTAATTGGAGTGAATCTAGATCCAGATGGGTTTCTGAGCTAGATCAATAACCATCAAAACAGTTGTGTGTTGCAGGCTCATAGCTGTTAGGAGTAGGAGAGAGATTACCACTGGGAACCTACAAATACCTGTTGAAAAAAGAGAATTGGATTCACACAGGGCTGAAAAAGGAGGTCAGTGTACAAATGCACTTCATTCCACATCCCTCATGTGGTTCCAGCAACCATCAAAAAAAACAGATGATTAACTAGCATAAACCCAATGAGATTCTGTGCATTGCTCGGTTTACAATCAATGTTCTGCCTTGTAATGCTATACATCAGCCTGTCCTCACTACAGCAAGCGGCTAGGACATGTTGAGCACGGCAACGATAGTGTTGATTTTGAAGTGCCGCGTGAGACGGATATCTGCGGAGGTCTCTGATCACAGCCTTCGTGGTGGGACCTGCCAATGATCAATCAAAGGCGTTACTTTACAATCATCGCCGACCTCATTACTCATGTGATTCAAAGAAGCCTAAACCAAGAACGTAAA